TCGAGTTTTGCGACCGTTTCCGCTTCCTCAGCTTCACCAGCTATCCAAGCTGCTTCCTCAGCAGGCTCAAGCACGGCTTCGGCCCCAGCAACCTCGAGTTTTGCGACCGTTTCCTCTTCCTCAGCTTCACTAGTTATCCAAGCTGCTTCCTCTGCTACCGCGGCTGTGGCTGCTTCCAGCAAGGCTGCTTCCGCTGCTACGTTTGTGACTACCTCCAGCCAAGCTGCTTCTGACCACTGTGGCGACACAGATTATGTGATTCTCACCGACACGCCATGGATCGTCTATAACATGCTCTACAATGCCGACGAGATGGTCGGCACGCAGTGCACCAACTACCAAGAATCTGGAACCCTTGCAAATGGAGAACAAGAGGTGGTGTGGAATAGCGTGACGAACATTGAATATGTCGAGAGCACGTAAGTCTGCCTTCTTACCAATAGCGGAGCTTTAAAATATAATACTTCTCCGCAGGAACAATGTACCAAAAGGATACTCTTTTGTGGGTCTGACGGAAAACCTTGAGAACACTATTTCGTCCATCTCTGCCATTCCGGCTAATTACACATGGACACGCACAAATACGACTGCGTTCAAGGGCAATGTCTGCTTCGACTTTATGACCAGTGACACGAAAGGAGATTCGACCTCGAGCTCTGCGCAAGAACTCATGCTGTGGCTTCAATATGAAGGAGGTCAGCTTCCCATTGGCTGGGGAGATGCTGTGACTACCATTGATTCTCTTTTTGGGACGAGCTGGAAGTTGTATGAGGCGAAGAACACCGATACTGGAATCACAGTTCATAGCTTGCTTCCCGACACTCAGTTCGAGGGGAGCTTTGATGGAGATCTGAAGGATTGGCTGGAGGCTTTGGTGACAATTGGAAAGTTTACGGATGCGACTTACGTCAATGTTGGGAATGCTGGGTAAGTTAAATCAAACCTGTACGCCTGTAGCAAGACTTTAACTAACGTGTGGGTGAACAGGACTGAGTTCTTCTACGGGAACAGCATCCTGAATGCTACGTTAGGATTGCAGATCAACTTGAGCTAGAAGACTGCTTTCTAAAGAGATCTCCTCGTGCGCAGGTTTCTCTGTCAAGGAGGTTATTCCTTTTTCCTATAAAAAGAATCTATTCTTTCCAGAACACACTGGACTTCTTCGCATTAGATAGTGTGTATATCGTTTATCCATATATAGTGAAATATATTATGGGATCAGTAGAACTAATTTTTTACCGCATGAATATGAGAAATTGTTTTTGCATGTTTATTGCAAGGTACAATATTATACCGGGTGTACGGACGTTGAAAGACGGTTGCTGGCTTTGGGTTATTTATATTCGCAACCCGCGGTTTGAAGACGTTAGAGCAAGTCAAGCTGGGAAGTGAGATTGGAGTATACTGTAGATTGCTAGTATAACTATATTGATAGATAGAATACAAAATAGTACAAGCGCCAAAAGCAGCATATTATTACTACGTTCCAGACTCCAAATAACTCCGAAGCATTAACGTAAGTGTAGACAGTACATGTTAAATCATGTCAAGACCCCCCTTCCTCACCCCCCAAAACTAATAAATATCAAGCGTCAATCATCACGTGAATATACTCCGCGACCTGGCTTGCACCTCATGCTTCTTTTCCTCGTTCTTGGTAGGGTCATTCTTGTCATCGCCATCCTGCCCGGGATTCGCCATCTCGTATTCCAGCATCTTGATGAACTTGTAGAAGAAAACTGCAATGCATGTTCCGATAAACGGTCCTAACCCTGTGATTGCGATGAAGTTAGAACTTGAAATATTTGACAGCTGCGCGAGGGTGGGCATAGCAACCTACAGTAAATCCAATGCTCCGGGTCAAACGTAGCAGTCACGACGCAAGGCCCAAAAGATCTAGCAGGATTGAGAGAACCACCCGTGTAATAGACACCAACTATTTCGGCGATAAAGAGCGCGAGTCCGATGCCGACGGGCGCAATGAACGTAGCCTTGTGCTTCTCTTTTGCGAGCATGAAGATGGTGAAGACGAGTTCGGCCGTCAACAGGGCTTCGATGAAGATACCTTGCACAAGACTAGTGCCTCCAGCAAGCGTGGTTCGCACATTAAACTGAGTCGGGAAAAGACCTAGCACCATGGCTGATGCAGCGACAGAACCTGAGATCTGTGCGCAGAATAGACAGATGGCTCGGACGATAGGGACCGCGCCTACCAGGACCATGCCGAGGGTGACGGCGGGATTGAACAGGCCTCCAGAGATACGGAAGAAGACCCATACATTGACCATGAGCGAGAAGCCGAATATGAGCGCGATGTAGAGGTATACTGAGATGTTGAATCCGGTTGCACCTCCGGATGTGGTACCGCTTGTTGATGCGTTGTCTGAGGAGGCGGTGGATTGGATATTGGCGACTTGTGTACCGGCAAAGGCGAAAAACAGAAACATAGTAGTGCCAACAAACTCTCCGACGCTTGCTACGAAGTCTGTTTTAGAGGATTAGTGATTGTCGGTAATTTAGGGTAGGAGACGAGACATACGATTCTTGAAGTTGCTGTTCATCCACTGAGTCCATGGCAATCGCATAACTTGCTTTCTTTCCTCAGGAGTGAGGTTGTTAAGATCAACGGTTCTTCGCTGCCTGCGATTTTATTGTTCATAGTCGTATCCATCAATACTTTCACTACTAGTACTTTCCTGCTTTGCATCAGGATAATCGCCCCGTTCCAAATCACGCTCGCGATAATCACCTCTTCCCTCGTCGAAGGTCAGTCTTGGTGGACCTCTCTCCCCTGCGTCAACGTTGCGAAATGCCCGAGGGGGCCTTGATCGCTCATATGAGTCGGGATGATGGGCCCAATCGTCTCTTCTTGGGTAGTGGCGGTCGTCCTCGCGATAGTACCCGTCATCTTTTAACCTCAGGGGTCTTTTCGAATGCTCTCCGGATGACATGCTGGGTCGATCTCGATCATACTCCCCCAAAGAATATCTGTGCGGAGCATTGGAGCTGGCTCGACGTCTGAGACCCCCCGAACCTCCCGATCGACTATGTTCAGCCCCGAAGTGAAAGTCCATTGGGGTTCGTTCGGGGGAGTAGTCTCGGCGACTACTTGGCTGGTAGGCACGAAGCGGGGAGGATGGTATTGATGGAGATGGCAAACGTTGAATAAATTCGCCGTTGCTAGTTTTGCTGCCATAATGCTGAGGAAGGTCGTTGCTCTCGTCAAGCGCCATCTTTCCAAAGTGAAGCGGTGAGTAGAGAGCTATGAATTCGGGGCAGGTATGGGGGACGGCTTAGTTGATTCTCCGTGTTGAAGCGTTGCTCTGAGGGTTTGATGAAGCCAATAATAGTTGTATGGGGAGGTATTGTTTGCTAATAGGAAGATGGTAGCAAAGAGAAATCAGATCAAATAAATAGCCAGTTTCATATATCTCCATCTCATAGGTTCTCCAGCCTCTCGTCATCTCAAGAGTATCAAATTTCCCTGCCACTTGCATAGATCAATCCTCGTCAAACCTTAGTTTGCTAGGTTCCTATGTATGGAATACCTAGAGTATACATCGCCGAGAAGAGAAGAAGCCATGGTATGGGACTAGAAATGGCTAGCCATGAGGATTATCCCAGTGTGAATCAATGCACGATAGGAAGATTTGATAGATTTGTGGGCTCTGAAACACGAGATTACTGTATGACATCGACCAACGGGCCAGGATACAAAAATGTTTAAAGAAAAGGTTGGTAAAACGAGGCAGGGTGGTGGGTCGGGGGCTATAATTGATTTCCTTCAAAGGAAGTGTTGGGATGAACCTCACTGAAGGACACGACGCGTCTGTGCAAGCATAACTTTGCCCTTTTCTTTTTCCTTTCCCATTCCACTTCCAATAAAGCATAAGGAGATAACCGAGATCTCGATCCGATACGAAACTTCGTGGTCTAAAATGGCCTCCACCTCCACTTTCATCGACATCGGTGCCATGCAGCGAGACGACAGTAACAGTATAATGTAGTAGAGAAAGGGCACACTGATGCGCTTAAAGAACCTTTGGGCGATGATCATGCATAGATACAAAACGACTTTAAGGGGAAGAAAAAGAGTACTATAAGGCAGAAACGGATAGATACTCAATCGCCTTACATGCAGCCGTTGGTCGAGGATATAAGTAGTCTTCCGAAAACAGCCTTTGTGTTCACTAATCGTCGTTCTGGTGATTGAATTTAGCTGCTTACATAAGCGCAATGGTCCATTCCAACACCTCGTCTTGCCAAGAGAGATCACGTGCACAGAACCCCCTTAACAACGTTTTGCTTTTCCGCCAAGACAATATCTTCTATCGTCACCAGATGCGCAATCTGTTATGTTATTTTCGAAATTGGATACCAACGCCTAAGCTATAGTCTCTACCGCTCTCAGGCTTGAGAGATTACAATGGTACTTCCTGGTTGGTGGATCATGATATGCGCTCTAGACCCATCTATAATGCTTCTTCTATACCTCTATACAGTCTACGAACAAACAAACGCTAAACGCACAATACTTACAGTACACCATGATCTAATCTAATCCGCTCACGCGGCCCCCACAGCCCTCTTAACGCTCAACCAAGCCTCGAAGATCTCCAGTTTCACTTCAACCCTAAAATAATACAACCATGCCCCCAATAGCCCAACCATATTCCCAGGCCACAGCAAGCTCCCCTTTGCCCTCAACTCCTCAACCTGCTCCTCGAATACAGTCCTCGAGCAATACCTCGCGAGAATAAGGAACGTTCGTACTGGTCCTTGTTTCGTGTGTAGATTCTCGTCCAGACTCCGTGTCAAGTCATTCGTTTTCAAAATCAGTAGAATGATCCGAGGCACTTGTCCAAGCATCTGCACCAACTGTTGCAACATGCCTTCGCCCATAGCGTCATTGATATTTTTCTTCTCGTCCTCAGACCTCGCTGCCGCAATGGAGGAAGTCACGATGCGGTAATCGCGCCCCGTGATAGCAGATGCGAAAAGCGGGAATTGCTCGTCGTCGATATTAGCGACTTCTTTCGCATATTTTCGCATCCGCGTCTCGTCTGCGTCGATTACCGCGAGCCAGAGCTTGGCGTACGAGCGCCGGAGTTCGAGGGGGATGTCGCGGTAGAGACCGTGGTCGTAGAGGATTACGTCAAAGTTTCCTCCGCGTCGAGAGGTGTTCTTCCGAATGGCAATGTTTCCGCCGTGGGGATCGCAGTGTAAAGGGGCTCCGGTACCAAAAATCATTTCGTTGAAGATACGTGCTAGGGCTGCAGATACCTCGTCTCGGTCGATTCCATTGGCGTCTAGATACTCCAGATCATCTGGTCTGTGACCAGAAACGTTTTCCATGACTAATATCCTTTTCTTGGCCCACAAGACGTCTGGAATTACCAAGGGCAACTCCGGAATGTGAGAAAAGTACTCCTTTGCCCTCATTGCGTTTTCTCCTTCCAGAACGAAATCCAATTCTTGGGGTAATGAATAGTCCATTTCCGAAGAGAGCCATTCCAGGTCATAATCCGGAAAGAATCTTTTTAACGTAGAAAACGTGAATCTAGTCAATACCAAATCTAGACCGATCCACTCAGCTAATGAAGGATGCTGGACTTTCACAGCAACCTTCTGACCACTTTCTTTGACCGTCGCGAGATGTACTTGAGCCAAAGACGCAGCACCTATAGGCTCAGTATCAAAATCCGAGAAATAATCCGACAATTGTTCCCCGGTATCAAGCACAAACATAGCTTCTATCGATTCGAAACTCGAGACAGGGCATTTGTCCTGCAGTGGTATAAAAGTCGTCGTCCATTCCAGAGGAAGGAGGTAATTCATAGCACTCTACAGCCAGTTAGCAACCATCCCCTCCCCTCCCCTCAAAACCGCCCAATACTCACCAAATGCTGTCCCAACTTAATAAAAATACTCCCATTACTCTCCAGCACCTTCAACGTCCTCTCCGCACACCGTTTATGGCACGCCTTCAGCGTCCGATCCTTATCTGCCTCATCCCCCTCTTTCTCGTTCTGATTCAACGTAGTCCGGTAACTATTTTCTTCCTGTCAGCCACTGTTCCTGCTCTTCTTCAATCCAGATTTCTATTTTGCCCTGGCTGGCAGAATGTAGTGTAGACTCACTCATTAACACAAACAGCAAGCGTAGTAATAACCCTCCCCGTCCTCTCCATCCCCTGCACCGCATGCCTCACATCATCACTAAACGCCAGCGCCGTCGCGCCAATCGTGCCCGTTGCCGCCGCAGCAAGCAGAACCTGGCGCTTCCTGCGCTGGGGACGTCCATAATTGCTACCACCGCCACTTGAGTACGTTCGTTGCTGTGTATTATGTTTCGGTGGCGCTCTTCTTAAGCCCAGGTCGCGACATTGTCTGCATGTCCAGCGCGGACGGAAAGCGAAATTGAAACCTTTCATTATGCTATGCTAGGCTCCGGATAGGTGTATTATCATAAAATCATTGTTCGGTTTGGTGTTTATGGGACGGTGGTGTTTTGTTGGGGTTGGGCTTGGAAAATCGAGGGGACTTGGGAAAAATGTTGCGATGACATCGACAGATCCCTGCGTGTCGGATCGGGAAGGGAAATCGCATGACCTTCCCTTATTATTGACATCCAAGCTCTCAATCCAAAAACCCAACATGTAAAACAGTTCAATCTACCTTTCGCAGAAAATCAAAAACTCCAAAACCAACGTCAAATAAAGCTGTTCAATTCATACATTACTCATCATGGCCCGCAAATTCAACTTCAACGGCAAAGCAAGCCCCCCTCCTATTCCTCCCTCATCCCATGCCCTAACTAACTCCCTCTCTCACCCAGACCCTAACAGCCCCCATAGCAGCCTTCACCATGGCGACCCTCCTCTTCGTGTACGCGCGCCTATCCATCCAAGCCGCGAAGCGCAACGCGCAGAAACACAGGGAGGCGGACGGGGGGCAGATCAGTTGGCATAATGAGAGTTTGAGACGGCATGGGAAGTTGGATGCGCCGGAGGATCAGGGGTATGTAGCTATGCTATTTCCCTCATCCATTCGTTCATTTACCTATCTGTTTTAATTATTGTTATAATTTGATATGTTCTCTTTGAAAGGAGGGGAGGGGGAAATGGAGAGGGGGAGATGGGAATGTATGACTGGTTGGCTGACTTGGGATTCGGAATATAGGACTGTTTCGCAGATTGTAGGGGCTGTGAGGGATAGAGATGTCAAGTGGGAGGAAGGGGAAAAGGAGAATGGGAGTGCGAGTGGGAAAGGTGGAGGGGCAGGGGAAACGGAAAATGAGAAGATGTTGAGGGAGAGGAGGAGGGTTTGAGTTATGAAATTAATAGGAAAGTACTCAGTAGCTATTTAAAATGTGATACGGTATGGGATGGGACTGCATGGGATCCTCTGGCGTTTAGGTCGGGTTGGGTTGGTTTGTTTAATAATTGTGCACGCAGCATTAAGGATAATTGGGCATATGAAACGTCACATTGAAGATGATGGTTTGTAAAAGTCGGAGAACTATACCATTAAAGGCTCATCTCCCATCTATAGGTACAATTCCTAACCGCTAATCAAGCTCGCCTCATCAGTCAAGGTATCATCCAGATCTGTACTTCCACCACTCCTCATCGAAAACTAAAAAAATACGGCAGTTCATATGCTAAAAACTTGTAAAGTTTGCCATGCCTGGTCCCAAATCCGGACTAAACGCCTGCCTGAGAAAACAAAATAAGATATGTCCGCCCATTTGATCCCCCCGGGCTGTTGGCCCACTCGAAGATCTATCAATTCATCCACTGTACAATCGAGTCCCTTTCTCCAAATATTTTCACCATCCGTCATTTGCTACTTTTGATATCCCTTCTGCTTTCGCGTGGTTGAGATGTTTCATGACAAACTCATATGTAAAGATGGTAGTTGTGGCTGCGGGAACAGCTCGCATCATATTGGTGCCCATCCCAGCGTAGAAGGCACGCCAGCCCTCTTCATGCAAAATCGTTTTAAATGTTGTGACTAGGCCTTTGTATCGAGGTAGCGCTGCTTTCGTTTTGGCAATGACAGCCGCAGGTCCATGGCTTGGGTCTTCTAGTCCGCCGCGGAATGATGGAAATTCTGCAGACGCCGATGGCATTGATCTTTGTTGCGTCTGTAACCTTGTCCGGATTACTTCGTGAGGATATGTAGCTGAACTGGCCATTATCTTGCTGAGTACACTTGCTGAGAGGACGCCGAGGAAATGAGAGCTGTCATCGCCCTCGGCGGACTGTCCCATTCCTTGACCGGTAAACTTCGTCTTGAGGTACTCGTATGCTGGGAATTGTACAGCAACATGTGTTAAGCCGAGAAGTGCTGGAGTAAGCCCAGAGTAGAAGGAGAGAATGCCTTCTGTCATGTACATCTTTTTTGCAGCGTCCAACGTAGACCTGTAATGCCACGGGGGCCGAGCTTCGATGGAAGTATTCTTTCGGCTTACTTGTGACATAAGTCGAGTCTTAATCACCCAGATCGGATTTGTGACCATCGTTGAAGATGATCCAGCTACTATGGAAGACCAAAAATTAACCACGTTGACGTTGTCTAAACAGACTGTTAGCCAGATTGTCCCCTCTTAACCTCAGTTCCCAATCATACCGCTATGCTCGGAAAAGTATTCCTTCGATTTCCCATAAACCGTAAACCAAACTGCCCACGTAGGCAAATATCCGAGTATTATTGGCCCCAATCCTCTGTACATGCCTTTCAAACCCTCCTCCCTCCATATCATCCTTGCCGTCCCCAACATGCCCCTATACACAACACTGGAGGCAGAAGGTATTTGACCCCCATTCTGCGCTCTGAACCCTCCCTGCGCCTGCAACTTTGTCTTTATAACATCCAACGGACATGTAACCAGCCCGGACATGAACCCCCCGGTAGCCCCGGCCAAAGCCTGACAACTGGATTCTCCTCTCGCCATAGCAAAGCGCTCCAGCGCCGTAAGCGGCACATTATGGTTTCCAAAGCCCGAAGCTGGGCTGCTAGCAAACTGTTGCGTCGGTGTAGAAGTAGAAGAAGGAAAGTCCTCGGACGCGGGAGATGATGGCGTGCTGCGTTCATGCGACATTGTAAAGAAGTTTGATGGCGCGAGCGAGTGATCTGCCTACTTTACTTGCTCGGGGGCCAGGCGCGCGGCAAGTAAATCAGCTGGTTCTTGACTTGAAGTTCGCCGTGTCTGGGTTTCCAATCTCGTGTCCCGGTGTGCGGGGAAAATTCCCACGCAGCACGCCAGACACAGCTACTAGCGATTGTCACAGGCCATTGACGATTTCCCCAAGAACGCAGATAGCTGAGGGAAGATGCGGAGGAGCAGCGAGGGCGTGAATATTGGTGGTCTTGAAGCAATACACTGTTGCCTGTCGTTGAGTTTTCCAACTCCTAAAGTGGGTACTGCCCGATCCGATGTTATTACTGAGCTTGGTCTGGTAAGCTAAGATAGAGGGAACTTTAAACACTGGAAGGGTCCCGCTTCTAGTCGCAGATAATCAATGTCTGCAACGTGGCCGTCGTTGAATGAATTGCTTAGAGAATATAGAGAATTTAACAAGGTAATGGAGTTGTGAGAAATGGGCGAGTCGGTGAGAATGCAAGCTCCTGCTCTCTTTCTCTTTATCGAGTGGGGGTCAGTGAGGTCTGGGTCCGGATTCGCTGAGCTGAGGCGCAAGGGAATTAATTGCTTATGTAATCGTGAAAGCCTGAACCTCAATCCGCCGATGACCACCGCAAAAAGAGTGTAAGAGCTCTCTCTATCCCACCACTCCTAAATTCACAACTCCAAGATGTCTGCACCATCCCTCGCCAATGCCATTATAAAGCGACCATGGCTCGCAAAGATGGTGAAGCCAATCGCAGCCTGGTACGCCGACGCCGCCGGATACAGAAAGCTCGGGTTGAGGTAATGCGACTCCTTCCAATCGACGACGAAGCTTGAAGACACGTCAATTGGGTTCTAGGAAGGATGTGAAAGCATTGTGCTGATACTCTGGTGTTCTTAGAGCCGATGATTTGATCCCCGAGGAATCCGAGAACGTCCTGCTTGCCCTCAAGCGTCTCCCGCAAAAGGAGGCCTACGACCGAGTGTTCCGTCTTCGACGTGCTTTCCAGGTAGGACTGGAGATATATAGTTATGAGTATAGTACATATTAACCATCTGCAGTGTTCGCTGGCCCATCAACTGCTTCCCAAGGAGCAGCAGACAAAACCCGAGGAGGTAAGAGCGCGATACGATGTTTTTGACAAGTGGAATGCTAAGATTCATTAGGACTACCCATACCTTTCTCCCATCATTCAGCAAGTCGAGGCAGAGGCAAAGGAACGTGATGATTGGGATGCAGCTGTTGTCCAGAGAAAGTAGGGGATGGCTTGATTGGAGATGTGTATATCGGGGCAGCATTAGAGGGACCATGGAATCGACAGGGGATATGTACTTATAACGTTGATCATCCAATTCAGAACGTCAAAGAATTTTTTGGGCCCTATCGAGGAAGTGCTTTTGCTACATGTTGCCAGATCTATACTGCCCTCACCGAGAAGCTAACATTTCACAATTTGTATGTATGGGTAGCATTGTAAAGCCAAACTATATACAGGAAATGAACTGCGGCACTTGAGGAAGGAGGCAGTCATTTCAATATCGAGTAACCTGGACAAACGCTAAAGTGGTCACTTGACGGTGTCCAAGCCAACTACATTGAAGAAGACCATATGATAATTAACTTCCCAATCCGTACCCGTAGACAAGAGAGCGCAACCCATAACCTCATCCTTACAATACCCAGCTTTCGCTCCAAAAGAAAATCGAAAAACAAGATCCATTCTAATACAGTGCCTGCTTTCATTTCATATGCATCTCTTGCCCTAAGTCTTGAGAACCACACAAGGCTTTGAGATGTCAAACCCCGATCGAACTCCTTCCTAACAAACAAAAAAGCAAGAGCGAGCTGGTATCCCTGAAAGATAAAAGGTCGGTACACTAATTCGAATGAGGAGTGTCTGTTGTTCCTTTCACCGATATTGCTCCCAGGTCCAAAGGCTCTCGCATGCTCACTGAAACTCCCGTATATGCGTGAAGACATTGATCGCGGATTTGGAAGCCGCGTGTGGCGTAGAATTACACATCTTATACCATGTTGCCTTCCGACTCCTCTGTATCTACATGCCATACCACATAGTTCGGGAGCCCGTAAACACCGTATCCTGCTCGTTTCGCCATCTTAGCAAATCCTTCGGTTTCAGCTTGGTTTTCAAATGCATAGGCGGGGAAATTGATCCCTATATAGTTTGTCAGCGTCTAGCTTATTCGTGAGAGTAGACCATGTAAATACCAGATCTGTGAACATCGGCCTTCACAACAATGTTGACTCCTCCAATACCGTCAAGCTCTACCTCGTCGTCCTTGTTCCGTCGCCAGTCTCCCATTAACGCCATATAGGTACGACCAGTATTAAGCTCTTTGTAACCTAAGGGGTTCATTAGATTCTGAAATTCAAGAGGAGTATGCCATTCTTACCTTCTACAATGACAGTATCTTTATCAAGCGTAGATGCTAATCGACGAGCCTTGTCCGATTCAACCCAAGAGTTGTAGTCAACTAAAGACTATCAGTAAATTCTCCCCCAGTAGTTCAGTGCCGCAAACTCACATCGTCCCTCAATGTCTTTCCCGCCCCTATAACGATGAAACCAAATATCTACTCCTGTTAGCGGGGAGGTCTCAAATCCAAGTAGTTTGCTACGTACTCGGGACAATCACATCCCTATCATGAGCGATGAAGTCCTCGAGAATACACTTTGGGCTATCCATGATATCAGAATCCCTCCAGTACACCCACGAGTGCTCCGGCTTCAGTGCGGCAGATAACAGGTAGTTTCTGGCTCTGGCCATGATCTTCCGTCTCGGGGCTTGGGCAGCGTAGGCGTGTCGCTCTTCAACACTCTGACCACTAGCAGCGCCGAAGTCTTTTTCGATAATCAGCACGCTATTGAATGGCCTGCTCAGGGTATTGCTTGACTTCTGGATCCGCGCAAGCTCTGCTGATAATACTGCGAGGGTATCATCCTTCGAATCGCCAACCAGGAATCCTAGGTCAATCAGGTGGTGGGGATATGTCAGTTCGGAGAGGAGATCAAAGTATGTGGGTATAAACTGGGCGGCATCTCGTAGAGGTGTTAATATCAGAACACGTTCTTCGTTTGCTACTGCTCGGGGGGTGGATACTATAGGGTTCATGTCGACCCGTCTGATAGTAGATTCGTTTATCACCAGGGGTTCATGGTGGTTGAATATGACTGGTGTTTGTAAATGCGCGTTCCATTCTACGGCCTCGTTCGGAGTCATCCGCATTGGGGGTTTTGAAGGGCCCCAGCAGTAGAATCTGCGGCGTCGTGTCAACAATATTCATTTTGAGCTGAGGAGATAGCAGGCTTGGCGACTGTCTGTGAAGGGATCATACCTTTGCATTTCTGACGCCGATGTGCTGACTCCCCTCCATAGTAATAGGATTAGCCCCGTAAGTGCTACAAGCAATAGAAATCGCGTCCGCGTGATGAAGACCCATATCGCTCTCGTAGGTGGTAATTTTGCAGATGCAGACTTCCAATTGACACCACCTTTTGGGAGAAGCATGACGGCGACAACTCCGTGGCGTTAGCACCACCGGCTAAAGGGATGAGGTATTATCGATGCGACCGAGGCGTGAGGATAGGGGGAGGGTGCGCCGTGGGGTGGGAAGAATGTATTGTCGTCGTCGTCGTCGTGGAGATGCGCAAGCTTAGGGCGGGCGTTGCGATGAATTGAAGAAGTTGCTGGAGGGTTCGTACACTCGTACTTGGACCACCGGATTCAGAAATTGGCCAGGGTTGCCAAGACACTAAACGAGGTTGAATGGGGCGCCCAAAAGCCTAAGACCTCGACCTCGACTTCGTCTCCCAAGTTTCCTCGCTGATACCTAGGGACTTGTTTTTATTTTCCCATTCAATTGTAATGAATTCGGTCACGGGAAGCTCATAGGAAAGGTCGAATTAGATTCCTCGATCCTGCTAGCAGTAAACAGTTTCAACAAGCTCCTGCACCGGGTAAGCTTACCGCGCCACCAAGAAAGGGAGCTATTACACGTGACTCTTGCTCACTTGAAGAGGCTCGGGCGAGCGATCATATATCTTTGTAACTCTATATTAATTAGTTGCAAGAGATCTGAGACCTGCTGATAATGCTATCAATCGTAAATCACATCTAACAATTTTGTTGTTCAGATACAGAGGAAGCCTCTCTTCCCAAAATACTCACCACAACGGCGTCAACCTCAATCGTTAGGCGGCAGTGGCCTTGGTCCTTGAGACATAACTCTGCAATTCCCCGCCTCCTTTCCCCGTATCTACACAGGATATACGCAATGTCTTCTAGAAGATCATCACGACTCAGTGCAAATGCGACCGCGCTCAAGGAAGACCCCGTGATGAAGAATGGGACAGTGACAGCCCAGTCACAGCCTGTGGAGAAGGCAACCAAGAAACGGAAAGCTCCCACAAAAGAGAACATCATTCCCAATAGTAGTGATGCTGGACCATCAACTCCGAATAAAAAGAGAGCTACAAGGATACTTCCTCCAGAAACTCCAACCCCCAAAGCAATTGGTTTAATGTCAAGTCCTTACAACGACCCCAACATCGCCCCTCCAGCTGTGAACCGACTTGCAGTTCCCAATGGGACAAATGCACCACTGGTCTCCCCGGAGACTCGTCGTCTGATATTGACGAAACCTGTAGATCAGGTTTCGCCTTCCAAGAAGTCTAATATCACAAGCACGACCAAGAGTTTACTTGATGATGCTGTGGCACATTTGATCAAGATAGAACCCAAATTAAAGCCCATCATCGAGAAACATCCGTGTCGTGTATTCTCTGAAGAAGGCCTGGCTGACGAGATTGATCCTTTCAACAGCTTGGTCAGTGGGATTATCTCACAGCAGGTTAGTTGATTTGATCCCCCTTGCTCCCACTAACAACTCCACCCCACCAATCTTAAATATGCATTATCTAGTATTCATGTAACCTCTCACTAATAACATATCCAGGTCTCAGGAGCAGCTGCAAGATCCATCAAAGCAAAATTCGTCGCACTCTTCAACACAGACCCGGACGCATCCACCCACGCCTTCCCAACACCCTCCCTCGTAGTCACCAAACCCCTCGAGGTTCTCCGCACAGCCGGGCTCTCGCAACGCAAAGCAGAATACGTCTTTGGGCTGGCCGAGAAATTTCACTCCGGCGGACTGACCGCCGACATGCTATTCTCCGCTTCGTACGAAGAAGTACTTGCCGAGCTAATCAAAGTCAGGGGGCTTGGGAAGTGGAGTGTAGAGATGTTTGCTTGCTTTAGCTTGAAGAGGATGGATGTCTTTAGTACGGGGGATCTGGGGGTGCAGAGGGGCATGGCGGCGTTGGCTGGCAGGGATGTAGGGAAGTTGAAGACGGGGAAGGGCGGGAAGTGGAAGTATATGGGCGAGAAGGAGATGGAAGAGATTGCGGAGAAGTTTAGGCCTTATAGGTGAGTGCTTCGTCTTTTAGTGATTTGCAGGATGGATTTGCTGACGAGCTGCAGGAGCGTGTTCATGTGGTATATGTGGGTAGGTGATTCAAACATCGTGTGTGTACTGTCGTTCAGCGCTAATTATGACACAGAGAGTCGAAGAGGTTGATATCAGCACATTTGACACCTAGCGAAGATCCAAGATCGAAGATCTAATGTAAGAAGTAAGCATGCAATATCATACCTATTATACAAACCCGACAAATGGAGCTAGGCTTTAAATCCCTGCTTGCTAGAAGAGACAAAGTCCGTAGTTGCTTCTTCTACTCAACCGCCAAACAGTCTAAGTAGGTAGGTAGGTAGGTATAAAAAGTCAACTACGAAGCTCGCAACTTTTCAGCCAGAGCTTAATCCGCAACCCCGATCCGCAACCAATACAGTACCGTACGTACCTACAAAATCTCATGACCAGTCTTTCCACCAACTATCCACAGACCGGTCCAAAAATACCGTACCTATAACCTAAGATCCAACAACCATCTATAGTGTTTGCAGAGCTTCTTAGCATTGGGGTTACTACAGTACAAGCTAATAGTAAAATCCCCGAGACCGCCTTTCCCTATATATCTCACTGACGCATCGATCGGTCTCATGACCATTCATTTCTTCTTCTAATATAATTAACAATCCTCTTTTCTTAAAGGTACGGATTGAAGAAAAGTAGTGATGTGATGTGATGCGATGCGATGCCAGACTTTATTCCATTACGATATATATGTAGAAAAGAAAGACTCATGCCGTTATTGGAGTAGGTGAATATGGAGTAATCAAGGAAGCTGTACCGTACGTATCATTATAGGGCTGAATCTCGTGTTCGTTCGTCCCACTCCATTCCATCCCATCTCACCTACAGGAGGATCTAACGTCTTTGCCGCCTCCTTCTCGGGGGCGGTAGGGGAGTTTTCGGATAATTCGTAATGCTGACTCTGTACTTGCTTGTTTCGTCTAGGCTTCAGCAAGCAGCCTGCAAGCTACTGGAGATGAAACTTTTGTTTTGTCGAGACTCTTGCGAGATCGAGAAGATGAAGGGGAGGGGGAAGGGTAAGCATGACTGCTGGCTGTTGGAGACTGGAGACTGGAGACTGGAGGGTTGCGTTGGGGGCTGGATGGGGTGGTGGGTAAGGGGTGGTATTTGGGAGATGAGGGGATTGAGGGAGGGATTGCTTATGGATGAATGAATGAACGAGCCTTGGGGTCAAATGGACATTAAGAACGCTGGTGAGGTGTAATGATGGTAGAGTATACTGCTGAATGGAAGTCGATATCGATATGCATGCGTTGTTCCTCTTTGGACATGCGAATTTTATGTACAACACCTGTAGGCAGGCATCCGAGGAGAGCATCTACCGATAGTCATGTTTTTGTTTCTCTTGTGAGGAATTCAATAATTGCAAATGACATGAATTAATGAAAAGTCTCTCTCTCTCTCTCTCTCTTTTATGATAGAATACTCAAAGCAACGGTAGTAATTCTCTTCGTGATGAGGCAAAAACACAAGCAGAGGTGGTGCAGCTGCACTCTCGCATAACTAAAGATTTCCCAAAAGGGCGTCGGGCGTCGTAACCCTTTCCACCAGGGGATGATGCGTCCTTTTGTGGAAACAAGTCAAGATCGGGACGGTCGGTATGAAAGCCAATGGAAATGAATTCTCGTATCCCACCGCACACACAAGTCACATTCCACTCTGGTAGGTCGAGATAGAGTTCGTTTGTGTGTTTCGAAACATTCGCCGGGGTCTACTGTACTCTAAATCCTTCTGTACGGAGTGGGGCGGAAAATAGGGGCAATGCTGTCATCTTGACCGGAAAAGATGGAGATTTTCTGGATTGTAATCTGACTTGTTATCTTTGGGCCTTGAGAATTGATAGGCGGGTGAAATCTTGTTTCCCTCGTGGTTTAACATAAGTCCATTCCATGACTCTTGCGATTCCTGGCTTGAGTGTTGAAACTAAGTTTCTATCGAAAGGCCAAGCATGAATGATCGGAATCCTACGTTTGGTCTCAGCAAGCTTACACGCTGACGGCACCTCAACTTGGCTAGGGTGACGAAGGGATGGCTTCAACTCCATGCTCATGCTGCAACGTTATCTTGCATGCACTGGTTATCAACTCATCACGACGCTTTTACTGTACCTGCAGACCGATGATCACAATTGCGAGTATTCCTCGACATCTAAGACGGTATGTTTCAAGTTGTAGGTGATCTGCCAGTGAGAAGATCAGACGAACCTGATGGCGAAAGGGGCTCCACGAGCTGGACGGTTGTTGTGTGGCGCTTCCATGGACGTGATTGGATCTGCCTTCCACCAGTTCTACGTCAGGTCTTCAACCGAAGCCAACAACAGGAACTTATCAAATATACCAGAACGCTTTTGGATGAATATTAGCGGCAGCTAACCGCATTGGTCGTAAATTGTTTGCAACAATGGGTAAAAATGGGTAAAAATGGAGAAAATCCGTCAAAGTTCAGGGGTAAAGCGATGATGTGCGGCCCCTGCGTTTTTAGGCTTGTCATCCCTTCCCAAAGTGTGCTCCTAGTACCTGTAGATCCATGGGCCTACTCACCACGGACCACCAGGCCAGCCAGCCGCGCTTGATCTTCTCCTTACGAGTCGAGTCTCTTCTCTACGCTTTGCCTCTTCCTTCTCTATCCTGAACCTCCGACTAATCCCCCTCCTTCTCCATTCAAAGACTCGACAATCCCTAGAGTCTCCGTCTCTCTTGTATATTTCATTTTACGGTCTTTGTACCACACAATCTGCGGAAACAATCGCATACTTCCTGCACGTTCCTTTACTGCATTTCTGCATTTTCTACATCTCTTCCTCGACATCCGGATTCATCCCTCTCCTTCACTCCCCCACCACGAAAAACTTTCTCATAATTGAGCAGTGTTGACGACTTGACTGTCTTCGGCCTGCTTGTATATTGCTGTTCCTCCATCTCACTGCCAATATAATTATAATATCTAAGTTACAGAGTCTGGTACTCGTATCATTGTCTCAAAACGCCGCCAGCTATTCGAAACCAGTTGACGATTTCGAACAAGGAATCCCAAAAACAAAACGAGCAGTCACTGCTTCCCTTTTGGAATCGCCAGTTCGGAATTCAATGACAATTGATTTCAGCGCCTGATATCTGCCCACTACGCTTCTTTAAACGCCTTTTCTGGTATTCCGATTCACACCAATTTTGCATAAAGCCGCGAGAGGCATTCACCTCGAACCGAAAGTCCTGCGTGAATCTTGACCGCCTAATTCCGCGTATATTTGATCTTCTGGCGCAGCGAAGTCATTTTCCAAGACATTGTCAAATCTCGAACTTCAAAATGTTGGGCATTAACTTCCTCCTTGTGGCACTCACATTTTCCACGAGTGCAAAAGCGTTCTTTTACTACGACCCTCCCTATAGATGTCAGCTGGACGATACAAGAACGTGCAGCGAAGAAAAACGGGCGATAGACTCAGATCCATTGAGTCTGAAGATTGTCCAGCGGATTCCAGAGGTAAATGGCCTACAAACTTGACATGAAAGCACTGCTAATGCTTTTGCCGCAGAATCCGGACTCACCTCAAACCATCGAGCGTCATGTTGACAGCTTGAAACGTAAATACCAGAGGATAGCACCCAGCCAGGTCGAAAGGGCAGAAAACGATGTGGAGAAGCGTACAAATAGTCACTCTATCGTCTCTGCCGCGGTACCTTCACAGACAAATAGCGCCGGTATTGATCAGGATGGGACGGACTTTTCTTATTTTGCGGAGGTCAAACTTGGCTCCGCAAACAAGCCTGTTTACTTATTGCTTGATACTGGAGCAGGCACCTCATGGGTCATGGGCCCATCATGTACTTCGGGTCCGTGCAAAACACACGACAGCTTCGGATCATCAGACTCGAAAACTTTCAAGGACCTTTCTACTCCTTTCAGTATCAGTTATGGCTCCGGAAACGTCTCTGGTACTATGGCGCAAGATTCGTTATCCATCGCGGGAATGTCGTTCACTGCTGCGATTGGCATTGCTTCGACGGTGAGTGACCAATTCAACGCCTTTCCTATTGATGGTATCCTTGGTCTATCTCTGTCAAAATCTGATGGCCAAAACTTTTGGGAAACCCTTGCCGCCTCAAAGACTCTAAAGTCGAACATGGCGGGCCTAGCTATCGATCGCGCCTCGGATGGACCCAATACGGGGGTGATTAATTTTGGTTCACCCGACACCTCGAGGTTTAGCGGCTCATTGGACTATTTCCCATCCGAGTCGAATCTCTCGGATGACTGGGCTGTCAATATTACCAATGTAGGAGTTGGAACCACCCAGATTGGGATTAGTAGCTTGGGTTATGTCGATACTGGAACTAGTTTCATATTTGCGCCTCCGGCCGATGCAAAGAAACTTCATGCTTCAATAGACGGTGCCACATCGTCAGACGACTCAACATATACTGTTCCATGCACGACAACAACCTCGCTGACGTTTTCATTTGGCCAATCCACATACACCGTGCCTTCAAAGGACTGGGTATCGGCTGAAGCCAACGGTGTATGCACCAGCAATGTTTACGGAGTAGGGGTAGTGGACGACAACTCGTGGCTCATTGGGGACACTTTCTTGAAGAATGTCTATGTTGTCTTTGATTACGATCAGACAAGAGTTGGTCAGTTTAGCTAAGCAATATTCGAGAGATCAGAGCTAACTGGAGAGTAGGTTTTGCGCCAATGAAGGCTGCATCATCTTCTTCATCCACAGCATCCTCTACTGGTAGGTCATCCTCTTAAAACCCCACAACCTGCTCAATGGCTTCCAAAACGCCTTCCATAACTGGAACCCCTATTCCTCTTAACTACCATCACGGAAACAAATTCTAACAGAGACTCCACAGGTACCTCATCTGGCTCTACTCAGACCACCCTTTCTTCTGTCACGGGCAGCTCTACCGCTTCTAGCACTGGATCACCAGGCGTGAACTTGCACACAACCCCAAGCACCACTACTGGAACTTCCGCAGGACAATCCACCGGATCTGCAGCGTCCGCCACCAAAAGCTCGAGTGCATTGCTTCTCAACCCAAGCTTCTACTCCGCCCTCCTCACCGCTGGTACACTCATTACCCTCCTTATCTGATCTCTGACACCCAGGATTTCAGCACACTATATCATTCTTTCTTATTTAGATCATGACCATTGAGGATGACGATACCCAAGTAGTTGTTTTGTAATTATATTAGCGAGCATAGCATTGCAGGAACTTGGAAAGGAGAGGCATGGGAGATGCCTCAGTTGCACGAAGTACATTCTAGAGGTCAGAAACATAATTGACCACCAATTTTGAGGTACACCTATCTTTTTCTCCGTGATATTGCTATCCTAGTCTTCGAAATTAATACAAGTGATTGGAGTGTTATGTACCTAGGTAAGGACCTGGTTTGACGTAGTGTCGGATGATGCATGACGGGAGCTTTGGATCTTATGAGAGTATTTATCAGAACTGCCTACCTGACATGAAACTGTCAGGCTATAATGGCTTTCATAATAAATTATATCTAATTTTAATGAGCAGCTGTAGCCAGAGTTGTATTCTGTACTGCAATCGTCTCGACATTCCAAAAATAGGATTCAGCCTCACAGCTTGAAACTTAAGCGAACAAGGGTCCTATAGAAACCAGACACCACCTTCTAAGCACCCATCCCACCACCTCCACGACACAATGCTATTTCGATAACGGCATGGTCAAGGCCAAAACAGACAATTCCCGCAGGGAGGGTGAGAATTCTGAACATCCTGCGAACGAGGAAGACCGTGGTCTGCTTTCAGGCAATTCCTCAGAAGACGAAGAAGACATCGTAGTCCACCCCGGTCAACCCAACTCTCCCGAACCAGAACTACGAACACCACGAACCCCAAACCGTGTACGCTTTGACCTGCCTCCCATCGATACCTCTCCTGCTCCAAATGGCGCCCCTCCTCCTTATAACGACTCCCCCCTCTCCGGCCGCCGCTCGCCCCGCCAACAGTTCACCCCCCTCCTCACCGATATCGAAGCCCCCTCGGTCAACCTAGCCAGCAGCCCCTGGGGCGACGAAGATGTAGATGGCTGGGCAGAACGGGAGCGCACGCGCCCGAAATCCGGGCTCCGGTCTGCGTTCATGAACATGGCGAATTCCATCATCGGAGCTGGCATTATCGGCCAACCGTATGCGTTCCGGCAAGCGGGCCTGCTTACGGGCATTATATTGCTTATAGGCCTGACCATTACGGTGGATTGGACGATTCGGCTTATTGTGATCAATAGCAAGATGAGTGGGAGTAATAGCTTTCAGGGGACGGTGGAGCATTGCTTTGGGAAGACGGGGTTGATTGCTATTTCTGTTGCGCAGTGGGCTTTTGCGTTTGGCGGCATGGTGGCGTTTGGGATTATTGTTGGGGATACGATTCCGCATGTTTTGGCGGCTATCTTCCCTGGGCTGGGGGATATACCGGTGTTGGGTTTGTTGGTCAATAGACGGGCTGTTATTGTTATTTTTATACTGGGAATAAGCTATCCTCTCAGCTTGTATAGAGACATTGCAAAGGTAGTGCTTCTTGATGCAAATGGGGAATTGGAGCTGACTAGAGTAGTTGGCGAAAGCAAGTACTCTTGCTCTGATCAGCATGATAATCATCTTATTTACGGTCGTCACGCAAGCATTTATGGTCCCAAAAGAATCTCGTGGGGAATTCACTACCCCGCTACTTACTCTCAACGGTGGCATCTTCCAGGCTATTGGTGTAATATCTTTTGGTGCGTTATCCCAATTCGATGTTGAAACAGAGCTGATATCTTTAAGCATTTGTCTGCCATCATAACTCACTCCTCATCTACGGCTCGCTCAAAACTCCAACCATCGACCGCTTTTCCCGCGTAACACATTACAGCACCGGCATATCCATGCTCGCCTGTCTCCTCATGGCCCTTGCCGGATTCCTCACCTTCGGCTCTCTCACCCAGGGAAATGTGCTCAACAACTTCCCCACCGACAACACCATGGTCAACATCGCGCGTCTCTGTTTCGGGCTGAACATGCTAACGACTCTCCCGCTCGAAGCCTTCGTGTGCCGCGAAGTCATGTTCAACTACTGGTTCCCCCACGAGCCCTTCAACATGAACCTGCACCTCATCTTCTCCACATCCCTCGTCGTCAGCGCCATGACGCTCTCCCTCATCACCTGTGACCTCGGTGCCGTCTTCGAGCTCATAGGTGCGACGAGTGCCTGCATGTTGGCGTATATACTGCCGCCGTTGTGTTATATCAAGTTGAGTACGAGGAGTTGGAAGACGGTTCCGGCGATGCTTTGTGTGGCGTTTGGGAGCGCGGTTATGGGCATTAGTCTCATCCAGGCGGTGGCTAAAATGATTCGGAATGAGGGGGGTGTTGCAAAATGCAATTAGATTTGCTGTGTTGTGTTGTATAATGTAAGATGGAATTCACATATCTTGGGCTTTCGGTGTGAAGTAATGTGCGTGCTCTTTACGATGCGTCTTGTGCATACACCTGCCTCCTGCCTCCAGAAGTCTGGATATCGTACGACTTGTCTGAATGCCAAGTGAAGTAAGTCACTTTCACGATCTGCTTTTAAGTCCTATAGTGTTTCACGGCCGTCTTGACACAAAGGAGAAGTCTCCTGGTGGATAGAAAAAAGAGACATGCGGTTTATGTGCTAAGTAGCAGGGACATTCTTAAACGTTGAGATGAGTAAGGTAAGTGCCGCTTATTATGTCTAGCATAGGAAGTACATTAAAGAGGCTAAGGGTTCATAATGACAGTTCTTTTGCGAGGAAGGCCGTAAAAACCATACGAGTGAAGTCATTTTCTGTCAGGATATAGCGCCAATGACTAAGCGACGAAGCATAAGCGGTGAACCCCTTCGCAGCAGATCCATCATCTAGACCTGCATCCCTATCAATGAAGTCAAGTCTACAGCATCCAGAAGCAATGTACCCCTGTGATACCAACATTATACGCACTTTTGATTTTCCTGAAAAGTAATATGTCGTTTAAAGCTTCAATAGTTTACGAGATAACTCCCGTTGTTGGTAAAATCAACAAATAACATGTACATACAAACTCTCAAAGTGCGTCTACCACCACTTACTTCTCCATTACTCCTCCTCTGGCTCTGGAACAGCTTTCTTAACAGGCTTTTTTACCGGTGCTTTCTTCTTTACGACCGGTTTCTTGGGGGCCTCAGGCTCCTCCTCATGCTCAGCCGGTTTCTTAGCCTTCGGACGTTTCGCAACCGTACTCTCGCCCTCCGCTCCCTTGGACGCGACTTTTTTCTTCGGCGCCACCTTAGCACCCGCAACCTTCTTCGGATCCGCAGTAGTCTTTTTCCCAACTGGTTCTCCGGGTTTGGCTTTCTGGGGCGTCTTTTCCGTCTCCTCGTCTGCCCAGTCGCAGTCCTCGATGGTGAAAACCAACTCGATCATGCTCTTGATGTCCTTGTCTACATCCTTAGCGTTCGGTTTCGGGGTCTTGGAAGAGCTGTAGTCGAGGAATCCTTTGCCTTGCTCCCAGGATACGCAGTGTCCGGATTTGTCGGCGCGCATGTATAGGATTCCGAGTTTCTCGTGTCCGGCTTCTTCGACCCAGGTGTCGAAATCAAAGGTTCCTTGGATCTCGTAGAATCTGTATTCTGGTCAGCCTTGCTTTGCCTTGCTGTCAATCCACTTCATCCGATCCTATCCAGTCCGATCGACGTGATCAGACAGAAAGAGATATACGGCATGTTATAACTTACATGACCTGTTTCTCCACACTCCTCAGATAAGTATTAACCTCCACAATCGTCAACTCATCATCAGTCTCATGATTCGCCTCTTCCACCTCACTCATAAACTTGTGCCAGCTCATCTCGAACAGCCGGCCTACGGCCATCAGCACGTTTTCGTTGGTCAGACTCGTGTCGTTCTTGTCGTTGCCGTCAGCCATTTTCAGGTGTGTGATAAAGGGCCACATGGCTTGCAGACCGCGCTGTTCGGCCGATATACCGCCGGCGGTTTTGTTGCCGGATTTCCAGGGCTTGGCCTTTCCTGTAGCGGGGGCGCTGTGGGGTTGTGAGTTGGGTTTGATGGGTTTGGGAGGGGTGCGGATGGGATGTATGTGCAGTGGACTTACGGTTTTGCTCCCTTGATGGTCTTTGATGCTGGTTTTGCACTGGCCTTAGCTGATGCGGCGGTTTTGGGAGCTACTTTTGAAGCGCTTTTCTTGGCTGGCTTCTTTTCCTCCGCCTCATCCTCTGATTCATCTTCTTTCCCCTTTGCAGCAGGCTTTTTGGCGGCTCCTTTGGGTCTGTTATGCACTTATTGTTAGCGTTGCTTGATTGCTTGCTGGAGGAGAGGGGGTATCGCGTACCCTGCGGTGCCTGCTTTCGGGGCTATCTTTGCCTTTTTTGCTGCTGGCTTAGGGGCCCCCTTGGGCTCCTCGCCACTCTTTGCGGTTTTGGATGCTGCACCTGCTGGAGCCTTCTTCGTTGGCTTAGGCTTCTCCTCATGATCCTCACCATTTGCTGTTTTTGGTTTAGCAGCGGCCTTTGTCCTAGTATCGTTTAGCTATGATGTTCGTCAATGGGTGCTACATCATATCACCTACCCATTAGTCTTTGGGGCAGCCTTCGAAGCTGGCTTGTGTTTGGGCGCTGGCTCGGGTTCCTCTTGCTCCTCTTCTTCTATGTGTTGTTAGCGTATTGCTTCTGTCTATGAGAGGCGCTGGGCTATGTACCCTCTTCCTCTGAACCCTCCTGCTCGTCTTCCTCTGTACGTATGGTGTTAGCAGATGATTATATTACGAGGGATGAATGTCCGATGTACCTTCACTCTCCTCACCCTTTTCTAATTCTTCGCCTGATTCGGGTTCCTGTTCCTCTCTAGAGTTCTGCGTTAGTGGCTGTTGCATGGAGGTCTTAAAGCCACGCTTGTGCCGCGTTCAAGCCAATTATTCGAGTAGCGCACTCGGACCAAGTGCTGGACCTGGAATAGTGGCCCAGAGGGATTACTTACTCTGCTTCGCTATCCATAACCTCATATTCTTCTTCAGATTCGGGTTCGTCACCCTCCTAGAGATGTGTCAGCAACGCATTAGGTTCCAAAAGAAGCAACGACAGTTTTACCTCTCCATCCTCTCCCTCCTCGCCTTCCTCGCCTGCCTCTTCTTCTCCCTGGTTTCTATTAGTTCCAGATCCACAGGAAGATTATAGTTGCGGAGCTCTCATTCGAAGAGCGCAAGTTCCCCGCGTCTCAAAATGAAGAATATAAACTGCAAAAGAACATACCTCCTCTTCACCGCTCTCCTCTACCTCCTCATATTCAGACGCCTCCTCGCCTTCAGATGCTTCGGGCTCTTCCTAGAATTGCTGTGGTCAGTCTCATGTGTGACTGGTTGCAAAATGTAGGGGGTCAAACCTCTTCCAATTCTTCCGGCTCTGCCGCTTTTGTTGCCTCCGGCCTTTTCGGCTTCTCGTGTGCACTGGTAGCAGCCATAGCGTTGATTAGGTTGTTCTTTGAACACCTCGGTCAAAGAACGCTTATTTCAAGATATGTGTCTATTTCAAAGACAATAAATTAAAGTATGTGTTTGAACGACTGAAGGATTAATTGCGTTCAGAAGAGGGGTTAACAAGAGAATCAACGCGTAAGATAAGGGGAGACGCGAAAGTACGCACAAACGCCCTGATCTTCGTTATATACATCCGTGGCTACCCCGCCGGGTTGGAACCAAGCTTCCACCATACCTGCTTGGCTGAAAGCAAGATGCATATCACATAAGCACCATGAATAGCTTCTTGTAGTAAGCGGCCGCCACTTTCCCTGAAAATTTTACTCTGCAACTTTGTTGTGTTGCAATGCGTGAGGCTGAGGGATTAGTAGTCGATGTCGGCCGCCGCCAATGCGCTAGTGACTAGGCTTTCCAGACAGTTCTATGAATACCCTCACCTGCTATACAGTGTTCAAACATATACTTCTCTAGAGGCCTTGCAATTAATTGCAGAAAATACTATAGCTTGTGTAGCATTTGTTTGGTTTTCGAGTTATTATAAGAAAGTTCGGCTTTTATGGCGAGGCATATGAGTTGTAGAGTAAATACACCATCAATACCCAATACCCGACATAGCTATGAATGATGACAGAGCCATCTAAGAAGCCGATGGTAAACACAGGAGGTAAAACAAAACGCCATACGGTATCTCACGGATGCATCCGTGTAAGCTAGAAGGTAGTATGTGATCATGCGGGGAGGTAAGCAAGAGTACAGTTATGTAAGCGGGTATATGCACAAGACAGGCGCCCATAAGCAGGGCATTGGATCGAAGGCTTATTTGGTAAGCCATGGCGTTTATTTGTTTCTTGAATGTTAAGAACTTTCGGTTACGACTTATAGTTATTTTTTCTATTACGAGAAATTTTTATGGTCGCGGTTGCTTGCTTGCCTTCATTTCTGCTAGTACTTTGCATTCTCACTCCTACTTGATAACTGTCTTCAGCCCGACTAGCACTTTTGAATCGTTGCGTTTATATGATACCATGTAGGACACATAGCAGTATGTTTACTAGGAATCCCAACATGTCACTTCTCGTCATTCGATTAGTAGTCCGCCCGGTCATCCCCTCACTATTCGGCCGCTTCTTGGCCATTTGCAAACCATAATGGGATTTCATGACGTGGCTTATAGGGACTAGGAATATAGCTCTCAGCCCTATTACCCCCCGATGGAAGCTCGGTCTTTCCGATAAGTCTTGTTCTATTTATACCCCTCGTGCGGCCGCGGAGGGGTAATCATCCATGCTTCACGCTGAGGCTGCGCATCTGTGTAAGCTCACCTAGACTACCGGCCTGCCCTACCTTACTCGGAACGCGCGCAGAGGAATATAAATCTACATACCTTGCCATCGATTCCCTAAACACCAACTCCAAACTTCGTCAGGCTTCTTTGAATCCCCTTTCTCAAACCTACCGCGAGGATGGCAGCAATAGTCTTGAGAGGAGGTGAGCACCACTCCATCCTATTTGAAGCATGTCTAAACTCTTGTAGCTCTTGAGTCTGCCGCCACCAAGGGAGGTGGTAGTGGTGGTGGTGGCGGAGGCAGTGGTATTGGAGATCAAGCACAGCAAGTTGTCGAAGTAGCCAAGGCAGGAGCAACAATCTTGGATATCATACGCGAGGAAAATGCAAAGGCAGTCGAGCAAGCCAGGAAAGACAACAATGAGTCCAATGCTTGCAAAGTCTTCATCGACAACGCTTTGATTCTCATAAAAGAGGCCACTTTGAACCAGTATAATATTATTATTGCTACCGATATCACCCATGATGTGTGGTGGCAAGACAAGCCTGGAGTAAGTGAATTGCCAAGAATACTTTTGAATCAGAGCCATTGCTGACCCACTCGCCTCTCTAGCCAGAAGGGCAGATCCAAATGGATCTACTGCAGTTTACATCAGCCTCGGGGAAAGACTATAGTTTCCAAGCCATGGTTTTCGACACCGGACAATACATCCGCCACGGCAAATGGGAGCCTGACCATTGGACGTTCTTCGGAGACTCCAAGTCGTACAAGGAAACGTTCACCGGTACTTGGCATGCGGAATTCAACAAAGCGCAGCCGAAGCAGAGTGTCGATGATGTTAAGAAGCTGCAGGATGCAAATGCTAAGAAGGATGCTGATGCGAAAGCTGCTAATGATAAGATTGCGGCCGACAAGGCGGTTGCTGATAAGGTACGTGGATTTCGGTGTTGGGGACATTCATCTCCATGAAACATATCCATTTTCTTTCTAGTCTCTTAGCATTTGAGAGGCCAATACTAACTTGGGCTCTTAACAGGCTGCTGCGGATAAGAAAGCTGCTGCTGCTGGTAGTGACGAGGAACAGTCAGAGGGAGAGGACGAACCTGATGAGGACGAGGATGAGGAATCTGGAGAGGGAGAGGAGGAGGGAGATGAGGAAGAACCTGAAGGTACGTAACCCATTTCTGATTTGTTGATACTCTGGACGCAAGCAAGTTCCAGCGAATCCAAGTTATATTCGAACCGAACCCATACTCAAGTCTGGAGATAACCCAGCCGCGTCTGTACAACGAGTTCCAAATCCAAGTCGAAGCCCGAGTGCGAATCTGGAGAGAGCGTCGAGTTTCCACTCGGACTTCGACTTGTCTGACCTTGCTTGGCATTTACTCCAAGGACACAAGTTCCTTGGACCATTCTCATGTAACAGAAGCTAACTCAGTTTTCTTTCAGAAGAGGAACCAGACGAAGGTGAGGAGGAGAAGCCTAAATCGAAACCAAAGAAGAAAGTTCTCAAGAAGTAATGAAGGGTTAGAGGGCTGTCTTTTTAAGCGCTGTTTATAACAATCAATCTATCTCGTTCATGTTTTAGTAATTCTGATCCGTTGTTTACTTCTCACGTAAGTTATCTTTCTGGAAAGGGAAAAGAGAGAGGGAGGCGGGGAGAGGGCTTGCTACCCAAACGTATCATGTGACCCGCGCCATTTTTATAACCGAAATTATGGCAACTACCCATGGGAAAATGAAAGACCCAAGACCCGACCCATGGGTTATTGGGTCTTGTGATGAAGCCTGGGCATACTGAATAACAATATAAGACGCAAACTATTGAGATGAGTTATTCATATCTGATCAGCCAGGTTTGCTTGATAGTGATGGTACTTGAAGTTAAAACATTGTTGTGCCTTGTGTATATCTGTTCTGCTTCATTCATGAAGCCTAACCATTCATATGAATCTAGACTTATTTACGAGTAGACCACCACGATCTAAAAATAGAGTAGTTATACGTGAGTCCAATTACTCATACATGTTAGCTTGTATTCACAAGTGAAATATGTGGACATGAACCCCCAGCTTCACGAATGAACAGACACAAATCAGATGTCCTCGATCATAGCAAAAGGGGGGCTCGCTTAAATGATTTGGGGTGAAGCGAACTGGGGCTATATTAAAGGGAGGAGAAGCAGAGATTAACAAAAAGAAACTAAAAAACATGTAGCAGCAGGTTTCGCTGGTAATCGACTACCTAACACCTAATCTGCTGATCTGAAGCTTGTGTATGGCAGAGGGAAGGTGTGGTGTCTGCCTAGGTGGATATGAATGGTCAGGATCACATGACCTTAACGCTAATGACTAAGCGACGAGACCTAACCACCAGTGAACCTCTTCGCAGCAGATCCATCATCTAGATCTGCATCCCTGTCAATAAACAAATTTACAGCATCTAGAAGCAATGCAGTAGAAGTAATCACACCCTTGTGATGCGAACAGAAGTGGGCGCCCATTCTCCAAGATCTCCTGTACCTGCGCCTCAAATCTCCATGCTAGGCGAGCACTGCGATCGCGATCCCAACCACCAGAACCAGATATCCTCCATTTCCCACCCTCCGAAGACCCGAAAACCCACCCCAAAATAATGCAACAGAAGGTAGAAATAATTAGGACGCCCATAATACGTCGAGGTTATGTGCAGAGATTTGAGAAATGGATCCTTTAAACTCGTTTACGGTTTCTGAGGTTAAGTGTATTACTGCTTATAATTACGCGCTGGACTGTTGCAGACGGCCTACGGCCAACCTCCACCAACACTAGATCTTGCTGGTTTTGTGATGTTGCGAAGTGCTACATCAATGTTAGGGCTAAAGTTCGGATTGAACGTTTAAGTAATGCTTGCATTATTTCAAAAATCTGTGGAATAACGCCGTTCGATCTCGATACTTCTTACTGGAGCTTAAATGCTTTCTGAGGATCAAGTGAAGCCGTAAAGTCTGCTTTCCCCGTCTTCATATCCGCAGGGTAAGACAAATGTTCATGTATCCACTTCCATTTGCCATCCTTCTTCTTCGCAATACCTGTCCTACGGAAAGCGGTGTCAAAGGGTGTTCCACCAGCAGTACCCCACGTATGCTGTATCATAGTCGAGTATGCTGAGTCCTTGGACAAAGCTGTGATCTCAATGTCCTTGAAATCCATCTGCCCATCGCCCCAGTAAGGAAAGATGGCATCGAAATGCTCGTTGAAATTTCCACGGGGAGTGTTTCCAAACATGTCGTAGCTGAGCATCTCAGGGAAGTCATAGAACCGTCGTGCCCCCGCCATTCCGTTTACAGCATCGTTGATGGACTCTTTATTCCAATAGTGGAGCCAGCCTTTGTAAAGCTGATCAAGTACTTCTTCTTCTTCTTTGGCCCATTCCGGATTATGGTCCTATAATAAGTCTTAGTGGGATCTCAGAGGCACTATAATTGGCTGAAATTACCCCACTCTTTTTCATGCTCAAGAACTCATATGTTTTATCAATTGAGGAGTAGGCCGACTGGTGTCAATTGTTAGCTTGTAAAAACATGTGGACCTGCTAGCGGCTGCTGCCAAATACTTACTGCCTCTTTCACAAATCCATTCTTGTCCATATTGAATTCGGGGCACGTGCAGCGATTATTTACTTCTTTTGACAGACCGAATGATTGAAACCGAATTGATGATATAGATAATTAACAATTGAATGTCGATTTCATGTTTTGTATATGCGAAGAAGGTCTTTATGGGCGTACGCTAAATCGCCCCGCAATCGGAAGAATGTCAATCACTGTAGGGCAAACATCACCCCGCAAGTCTATATCTCATATATTGCCCCGTTACGACTGAGGCGGAGAGATTTTGTCGGTAATGTAATCGAGGACGCCATATTCTACTGATCAGTGATCTCAAACTCATGTGGGAACGGCATCAATCATGTCTATGCAAAGAATTGCTCCGCATCCAGGTGAGACCTCCGATAAATTGTAAATCGGAGTTCGGGAGCTCGTATGGGGCGTGATGGACTCGACCATGCACGGGAAAGATATACAGGCGGGCTAATCAGAGGCTGGTAGTGTTGAGAGCACGTTGTATGGCCGTTGTCTTATTATAAACAGTATGCCTCCTTAAACCGAGTGAAAACTCGATGAAATTATGAAAGTGTTTTACAAAGCTCAAATCTATACCAAATAACTTACGTCCATACCATACCAAGCAGCCAAGCATGGGTTCCAACACACTTGAATATGATGCCCTGATTGTGGGAGCCGGCTTTGGCGGATGTCATGTCTTGAAGACGTTGCGTGATAGGGGCTTCAAAACCCTCGCGGTTGATGATGGAGATGATTTGGGTGGTGTCTGGCACTTCAATCGATATCCAGGCGCAAGAGTCGATAGTAAAGTACCACTTTACGAGTTTTCCAACAAAGAGGTGTGGTCAGACTGGAACTGGACGGTCAAATACCCGGGGTGGGCTGAGATTCAAGATTATTTCCAACACGTCGAGGCAAAACTCCACTTGAAAAAGGACATCAGGTTCAACACTCGCATAACTGCGGCGCAATTCGACGATAGTGTCGACAAGTGGCATATCACAGCACAAGATGGTTCCGAGTTCATCGCTCGCTATTTCATTTTGTGTATTGGGTCCTTCGCAAAACCTTACATCCCCGACTTCAAGGGAATTGACACATTTACTGGAGTGCATTGTCACACTTCAAACTGGCCTCGGACCGGAATTGAGTATGCCGGGAAAAGAGTCGGAGTCGTTGGCAATGCATCGAGTGGGCTCCAGACCATCCAGGAAATCGCACCGGATGTCAAACATTTGACAGTCTTTCAACGCAGTCCTACGTATGCTTTGCCGATGAGACAGGCCAAGCTGACAGAAAAGGACCAGGACAAGAGTACCTACGAAGCAATCTTTGGAAAAAGAAGTACAATGTTCGCAGGGATCGACCAAGAGTTCAACTGGGACTCATGTGTGAAAGCCACAGATGAAGAGCGCCAAGCGTTCTTTGAAGGACTTTGGGAGCAAGGAGGACTCTTGTTTTGGCTTGCCAACTACCAAGATGTCATTATAGACAAAGAGGCGAACGCATATGCTTATACCTTCTGGCGCAACAAGGTAATTCAACGCATCAAGGATCCTAAGGTTGCAGAGATACTAGCTCCTGAAATTCCTCCATTCTTTTTCGGAACCAAGCGCGCAACCTTGGAGCAACGATATTACGAGGTGTACAATCAGGAGAATGTGGACCTCATCAATGCCAAAGTAAATCCGATCAAGGAAATTGTACCATCTGGTGTGATTACCGAAGACGGCATTCTTCACGAACTCGACCTCCTAGTCCTTGCCACCGGCTACGATGCCGTCACGGGTGGCTTTACGGCGATCGACATAAAGGGCTCGAAAGAGCAATCACTCAAGGAGAAGTGGTTGAAGGGATCGCACACGGCATATGGGATGGCGACAGCTGGGTTCCCAAACATGTTTTTCCCTTACGGGCCACAAGCCCCGACCACATTCTGCAATGGCCCTACCTGTGCTGAGATACAGGGCGACTGGATTGCGTCGGCTTTGGAATTCATGCGTGAAAAGAAGCTTACCAGAATTGATGCAAAAGAAGAGACAGAGGCAGCATGGCGGGAGCAGGTCAACATGATTGGCAACATGACACTGATTCCGCAGACTCAGTCAGAATATATGGGCACGAATATACCGGGCAAACCAAAGGAGATGTTGAATTATCTCGGGGGACTGCCGCGATATGTTGAGCAGATCGAGGCTGTTCGTGATTCTGGCTATGCAGGTTTTGACTTGAAGTAGACAGATTTTGTCTTTCGTTGTCCTGTCGACATGATCTTTACCAATATTTATATCAAAACTTTCCATAACATAGCTAGTGATTGTCTTCATCAAATGTAGCACATGAACTTTCAATAGCATAAGTTGACCTCTAAGCTCCAGCCACGGGTGGTTAATACATGATCCAGCAGGATATCAACAGCCAATATCAGGAAGATCTCCAAAAAGATAGATTCTATGCACGGCATTTATGGTGCAGACTTCCTTGAGCTTCAGTTGACTTCCTGGTATACCGACTTCCCTGGGGATTCGCGGGCAAACTTGAGGAAACAGGATATCTCCGCATCGAGCCCAGGGAAACAAGGTACTTGCTTATAATATCTAGTAACACGCCGGGGATGGTTCTTTTCGAACATCCGGATTTCCGGAAGGAGTTAGTCCGCAATATCAAGATGAGATTTAGAAGGCGACCGCATAAGCTGAAAATCAGTTATCAAGCCACTCCGAAAATTCAAAAGAAGATTAAGCTATTGTTATCATTGAACATATTCTTGAAGAAATAGAATATTTAATTCACGCCAACAAGCAAAGAAATTAAGTAATGATCATATTTTTCATTTATGATTTCTTGTTATCAATATGTCCAATGAAGGCTCTTGAACTGTGAAGTTCAGTCTTAGAAACAAGAAAGTCACCAGGAGCTAGCTGTTTCTGAACAACTTCCCTATATAATTCCGATGATGTGAACTTCTCAAATTCTTCTCCAGAAGTTGTGCTGGATGTCATGTCAGCAGTGGTACCCTTCGAAGTTGATCATATAACCGGGGTAATAAGAAGTTGACCATACCGAACCCAAAGAGTCACCAAAGACTTATCATTGCATTCTCTCAGTACACCACAACTCTGAACCCCAATCACTGTTTTAGATATTTCTGCAAATCCGCCGAGTAATCGAATTACATTTTCTCGTTTCCCTGCCTGCGCAAAAAAGTGATGAACCACAACATGGCTTGTTTTGGAGTGTTTCTCTGGATCCTCATCTTTCGTGTACCAGCCGCCCGCATTGTCATAGTGGTACAAATCATAGTCTCTGCTTGCGAGTCCCTGTTCATGCTTAAGGAGTTGGTCTTTATCAACCAACGCCATTTCTCGCTTGAAAATATCCGATGCTGGATGACCCATGAAGAACCCCACAGCGTGAGAATACCCTTCGAGACCCCATAATGTATCAGGTTCTCCATCGAGATCTTGACCCCAATAGTACGTGTGGCCTAGTGGTTCTGTGGCAGAGACCTCACAAAGGGGAACGAGTCGTTCTTTCCACTGTTCAAGGTTAGACAATATATCAAACATGCACCTGGGAGAGATGTAGGTGTACACACAGGCTCGATAGCACCAGGTCTTCCCACAACACGTGCCACGACGTAAAAGTCTGGTGCAGACATAATTCAAGGTTTATTTCTAAGAGATCGTGAGCTCTTCCCTATGATTATTTTTTGATTTACTGTGAACACTTTTAAAAGATTTGGATAAATGTCTTGGGTGGGTGTGCGAATTTATGCCGCCACGAAATTATTCCGAAAACTTAAACTGTGATACTCAGTACACTACGGATAGACTTGACTGGACATTCACAAGCTAAATGCAACTGTCCGCATTTGTTTCTCCGATAGTTGTGCATCTGATTTCCAGTCAACCCTAAAACACACACACAATTAGGGGCATGTGTTCTTGCTGCGGCTCAACCTCCCTCAATCGTCCACCTAGCTAGGACTAGCAGACAAGGACTGTCAATACTATTATTAACATACTTCATGTTACGTAAAATGTAGGCTTTATATCATCTTGGGACCAAAGCATGCAGACAGAGCCTATCTTGACATTGGCAAGTTGTTCATTATTTGTTCACCTGAGAATATGTGCTGAGACACATTCTTGTTTCATTTCACTCGAAAACCAACTTACATGGTAATAAAGATATCCTTCTATGACACGTACTGTCTCACGAGGCGGCACGATGAACGACTTTCTCAGGCGCATCTTCAAGCACAGCCTGATTACAGTATTACATAATTTTATACGCCGTAGACACCCAATCACTATATCAGTACATATATATGGCGGCGGAGATGTTTGCTACCAGCTGATGTTTTGAATCACTTCGCAAAGCAGTCAAACATTAAGTCATTGAGACTGAATGGCCGGTCGACTTCTGTGGTCTCGAAATCAAGTTCCATGCTATCCCCGGTTCCGTCCCAGAATGCGTCAAAATTAACCCCTCCCAAATCTTCTGGTAAACACAGCATGCTCATGTCGAACTCTTGTGTAACATTGTCGATACATTGATTTTGGTTAATGTTGGATTGTATATCATCGCCGAGAGGAATGGTGTAATCGTTTGGTACAAGTTGGTCTATTGAGGGGGGGAAGAAGCGGTTGTGCATGGTGGGGTTTGTTAAATTGTTCTGTTGCGGAGATGTGTGAAGATTATTGAAGTCTATGTTGTTCGCAGGTAGGCTTTCGGAGCCCGGAGTTATTCCCTTTCTGTTCTCGAGTCGAGTATTTGATCCCTCGCTAGGAATTTTGGCACGAACCTGAATGTCGTTACTTGCCCGAGGATGGCAGTTAGGTGATGACGACTCCCGTGGAGTAATCTCTAGGTGGTCTCTTAAAGACTTCAAGTTGTGAAGCATCACTTCCGGAGTGTCCCAAAGTTTCGTATAAGCTTGACACTGCATAAACAAAATATCAAATTTGGATTCCAGAAGCTCTTGGTTGCTGTCGATCGGACCAAACCTCTTATAGACAAGCTGAGCAGCAGCGGCTACCCAGATAGTACTAGCTAGAAACGGCTTGATGAAGCGGATATGGTTGTCCGAGCAGGAGTTCGTGATGGCTAGGACATTATCAGCAGCTTCCAGATAGTGAGCTAAGCCATTCATATCCGGAAGTTGTCCTTGACGTGTAGACTCCAGATTTTGTGAACCCCTTTGATCGTAGCTGCCGATACAAATACTTGTGGGGTTGCCATCCTTCCCGAATGCATACTGATTATATATCATAAATCTGGTTAATTGGCACATGAGGTAGATTTCATATATTGAGTTGTGCGTGCGTCTCAAATCTTGCCCAGTGGTAGGATCTTCCATCTTAAAATCCATAAACTCTCCATGCCACTGGAGCGGCTCAGGCAAAGCACGCATGTAGCACCGCAAGGTGTGATCAATGATGGTCAGACTCTCTTGGCTAATACTCGTAAACCCTATCTTTGAATCATCCCCATGACTCGTGAGGTTCGGCTGGCGGTGGACGACGGCTTCAGGGTTCGACAGAACCTGAGCATCTTTCATCAGTGAATTCACAACAACAAACCAAGCTTGAGCGCTTTCATTGCGACTTTCTTGGAGCACCTTCCATCTGTTCGTCGGCTTGGTCTCTAGATGACAGCTTGATTGATAGCGGTGATTGAACCAGAAAGAGTCGTCGACGGGAAGGAACGTCTTGTTTTGCGCCCAATCTATTCCGGTGGGCAATCGTCTGATTGTGCTGGCAAACACATCCATCTCCCAAATTGCCCACCAAGATCTCCGTCGTTCCTCGTCGAAACACCATTTCATGATCTCGGTCTTCCCTACTGGGATACTCCTTTGTATTGCTCCAGAATCAACTAAATGTAGGTTCCTTTCATAAGCGATTCGGACGCAAATGCCCAGATATCGCCACGCTTTTCCACGTACACCCCCGGAGAGCTGGTAGAAAGTAGTCAATATAAGTGCCTGCAAGAGAGACAGTGATGGCGTTTCGTCCCCGCATTCGTCTAACGCATCTTCTATGAAGCCAAGCGCCAACGCATGAAATGTAGATGGCAGCGGTATCTCCGGCCTGCGTTTGATGGCATTTCGAAGTCCTTTCTCCTGCCATGGTGCTGATTGGAATCGTGCCGAGTAGGAGAACATTGACGCCATGAGTGCCTTGAGATCCGCCGAGGATTTGAGGCCTCTAAGCTTCGCGCCAAAAGATGGTTGATGAAACAGAGACGAGAAAGTCATGTTATTGAAGTAGGAACTGATCCTGGGTTTTCAGGTCAGCTTTTCTTCATTGATATGGAAAAATATTGATTGGATCCACCGGTATGCTTTCCGTTTTAGTAAAGCTGACTTACAGAATGCGACTGGTTTCCATGGTTATACCCAAAGCGGTACAAACATCCGTTAAGGGGTTGGTCTTGTCTGTAGCAGAACTAAACGTCTTCGATGATTCTTCAACATCGTTCTCGGTCGGGGTGGTGATATTCGTTTCATGCGATGGATGTAGAATGTACGAAAGGGGTATTCTATCCACAGGAATCCTGGAAAGCGTCTCACTGGTTTCTCTAAGATCTAGTGATGGAGGTGTAGGAACCTGTGTAAAGCATTCATTACGCTGCTGAATGGTGTTGTCTCCTTGATTGTACGCATTGCTGCTCCCAATGAGGTCGTGATCACCCGAGTGGAGGAGTTGGGGGCGTGCATATGAGCGAGGACCCAATTCTTCGTCGACAAGCTGAGTTTCCCCATTTTCGTTGTTGTCATTGTCATGGACGGCACGATTTTGACGTGCCCGCCTTCGTTTTGATTGGATAGAGCCTGATTCGTACTCAGAAGAGATGAAACACAATATAGGAAGAGCAACATACCAGTTTTGGGGCCCGATTTCAACCGCCCAGTAGGATATATACAGTTCTGTCCGGCTTTCGCACAGACAGAGCATTTGGGAACTTCCCGATCGCTATCATACCGTAAATAAGAACCCACGGTATGGTAAACACATCACTGTGCCAGGAGCTGGTACCATTTTGCTTTTCTTCTATGTTTCAGGGCATTAGTATTGTAGTGGTTAAAGGGTTTAGCGAAAGTATCATCATGATTTCGAGAAGAGGAAAAGGGAGAGAAAAAGAAAGGAAAGAGAGCACACCTGCGGCAGTACTCGCATGCTAAACCTGGATTGCCATCTATCTCGGCTCGGGCAATCCGGATGGAGTCACCGGAGCGGCCGACTTTGTGTTGCTCGTGCTCTCTTGCACTGGTCATGATTGTTATATTTGTAGGCAATCCTATACTGTACTATGCACTATATAGAGTTACAAGAAAGTGCCGAAGAAGTGAAAAGTCTAGCAGGAGGTTGTCGAAAATTAATGTATAGTATGAAATTCTTAACCTGGGGTTGATGCGGGGTTGGCGCGGGGTAAACTAGCGCATCAACACCCTTGGAAACTGCAGTGTTTTTAATACTGTAATTAGTACGAATTAAACCCCCTCGTTTGAAAATTGATATAGCATTAATAGAGTAGTCACAGGGAAATGGAAAGGCTATAATAAAAGGCGTGAAATTAACCTTGATTGAGCATGCTTGCTAGCTATATCACATAGGCTTTAAATACTACTTTGACGCACTTCTATATATTACGAGACATTTCTAGGGCTTAAAACATCAGAACCTGCCCGATTCATGTTTTCAATGATAAGTACGCATTTATCGATGCCCTGGATTAGTCCCTGGATTAGTACAGTACAACAGGGAGACTCATGCCTAGGTGCTGTATGCTTTTGATCTACAGTGCAGTACTTGTCTGCAGTGTGGAGTAGAACTGCCCCACTAGAGTACGTTTTAAGGAGTACTTCGTGGAGGTCCTTTACTTGCACAACCAATAATAAGCTTACTTTTGGTTGTCTTTCTGCATTCAGCTGCCCGGCATTGGTGTGCAACCCCAGATACTCTCATGGGACCAGAAATCCTGTCGAGTAAGATGCCGCAAGAAGGACGTTGAAGACAAGCGCTGGAGTTCATCCGCTTATCCGTTCATCTGCCGAATCTTGTACGAAGTTTGACCGCACAGCTCCGCAATTAAAACCCTGCGCGGACATGGAAATAAGGGGACGTGAGTACGGGGTGAGAAAGCTGCATTAGCATTGATCCTGTCATTATATCAATAACTCTATTTGTCTGCATTTCCTGTACGGGAGAGAATCCCTACAATTGGTGTACTTCATGATGGGCTCGCAATCATCTTCTATGTGCGCGTAACTCAAAAATCTCCAGTTTCTAATGCTGATTATAAGGTTGCAGCTTGCTCAAAGTAGAGAGAGGGTGAGACAAGACATCCTAAACACATTTGAAGACATACCGGGAATCATTGCAATGGCATGCAGCAAGTCTCGGAGCTTTCCTCAAGATTTCAAGCTGCATGACTCCATAGATGATTTGAAAGTGACGCTCTTCGATGCTATTCCTGGCCTCATCGAGATGTATATGCCCGGAAACTTTTCCACACGCGCACTTCCTTCTGGGGATAGAGGTATATATATTGATGTTCAACTGAATGACAAATCTTCATCATGCAACAAACAAGCATAACGGCAACTACTATCATTTCGTGAACCACAAGGGACAGGTTCTAGCTTACCATACCCTACTATCTCCTTCAACTCAAGAACAGAGGAAATTAGAAGTTTTACGTTTCGCCACCAATGTTCACACCATGAAAAACGGCACCAAGTGAATACCAATAACCGACAGAAGACAGAAACAAATCCTTGACAACCATCCCCTACATGAATGGTTCACCGCGCAGTGGTTTTCATCCAACAGATGACACGTATTTCGAGCAATAATACTTAGTACACTCGTCGGTTAAAAGAGTAGGGTTGATCCTTACTACGTCCCTTCTCTCGCTTCTTCATCTTCTTTCTTCCTCCATCTGGTGTATCAAACTCAGATATCCTTGAATCTGGGTAACCTATTCGTCCTTGATATCCTACGTTTGTTTTATAGATATTCCAAAACGACCGAATTACACAAGAAAAACAAACAAGCTTACGTACTTCTGCAATGCGCACGTTAATTTACTAAACCACTGAATTCCACAATCTAAAAACAGAGAAGCGTCTAGCTTCATAGATTTTCAGTTCTAATAACAATTCCGAAATTCCAAGCGTGCCAGTAGGTAGGATCTGAGAGTCTGAGACATAGCATCAAGATCCCACAGAAGGATTAAAAACGATACGGTATCTGTGAAGCCAACTGGTTACGCCAAGCTAGGGCTTTCTTTATCAGGAATGGACAAACGAACGAATGAATGCTAAGAAATGACCGAAAAAGATTCCTTGACAGCAAAGGACTGAATATATGAATCAAGAAATATTGAATTCGAAACTCGATCTTCCATTGGTAGAAGTCGTATGCCAGAATTGAAACTCAGGGTGTGGTAGGCCGGCAGATAGCGAAAGGCACGCAGAACATGCCGTAGAGGTTTGGTCAAGGCTGTACTTCGTATCTAGCGAGAGAAGAGATGGAGTATCAGGATATGTTATATCGTGACGGCATGGTTTAGATTTACCTTTGAATTAAGTTACTTGGAATTTTCAAGTAAAGTGGGAATGTGGTCGAATTAAAAGAGAAGCACTGCCATCTCCATTAATTAAGAAACCAAAACTTACATTAGCACAACGCTCGGAATACGCATGATAATCTCCGAGTCAGAAATGCCCTCCGCCGGAGGATTTCCATATTCTTCCTTCTCCAAGCTAGTTTATATGTATCCCGCTTGACCTGGTATCCAAAGCCGTTATAACGCCATAGCTATGCCTGCTGTCAACTTTCGTTCATTGGTTTGCTTGTCATCACCATCCATCACCCCACCCCTCGTCATCCCCAGTCTCCTTCGGCTTCGTATCAATCGTCTTGGCAACTACCGGCTTCGGCTTCACACTGGCCGCAGTAGCAGCCGCCTTCTTCGCCCCCGCACCCCCAACACCGCCCGTACTCTGTATCCTAGTACTCGTCGCCGGTCTTCCATTCGCAGGTTTAGCAAGTCCTTTGGGAAGTGGTTTCGACCCAGGCTTCTTTTGACTCTGCGCAGCCAGCCAGCCCGCGAAATCAGGCTCACCGTTATCATCAAATGGATTGGACGCAGAAGGTGTATGAGTTTGTTTCGGTGTTTCGGATGGGGCGTCGAAGAAAGATTCTTCTTCCATATCGCCCCACGCGTCGTCCACTTCTTCGGAAGGGTTACGGTCTTGGAAGTATTCATTCGTGTTGGAGGATGTGGAGGTACGTGTTGAGGTTGCGGGGGGTGACGCAACGGCTTGTCGGTGGAGGTTTGATGCTGACGCTGTTATTGGGGCTGGGCGTCGGATTTCGCTAGTCGCGGGAACGGAGCTGGGTCGTGGAGCGATGGGTGTGGTGGTGCCGTTGGATTGCATTTCGCCGGCTGTGGAGGAGACTTTGTTTGTGAATGAAGAGATGGCCCAACCGGTCCATGAGGCTGCTTCGCTTGAGTTTGGTTGTGGCGTGCTCATCCGAGGTGCGGATGCGTTTGATGCGTCTACTGCAGTAAGGGGTGGTAAAACAGTGTCGGCCATTGTAGAGGCGTGCTTCCGAATCTTCTGAAGGAAGACATCCATGGTCTTGTTGGATTGATCGCGGACGAGCTTTTCCTTGTCGACTAGGCAGGGACATATAGCGGGTAATATCCGATTTGCACAATCATCTTCGCTGAACGAATCGGCCGTAGCGCCCAGTGCCAGCAGGGCGGCGTTGCGCGCGTGGACGAAGGGATCACGAAGTGACCGAGTGAAAGCTGCGATCAACACCTTTGCTCTGTTGCCAACTCCTAGATTTTTCGAGATCTTGCCTAAGCATATTGTTGTATTTGTACGAATTCCCGGTTGCTCATCATTCGAAGTCTTGGCAAGATACTTCAATAGCTCTCCGTTGATGGTTCGATCCGATAGCTTCCCAATGATTGTCAAGACAGCTTTAACGGTCTGTTCCCGAACTACGGGTGCAACATCGGTAAATCCAGTAACCTGTTTTTCGGGTCAGAAGTAATACTAGGACAGAAGAAAGTGGCATTTACCATTTGAGGAAAAATCTTGTCGTTCACCACCTTTTGGGGTAATCTGTCTATCATCATAGGTAAATTATCCAATAGACAAACCCGTATGGCTCGATCTGGGCTGCCGAATAGTCTTATAACTGCAGGTGTGATCTTCCCTTCGAATTCATCGTCGCTAAGCTTCTTGCTGATCTTCATAACCACACCGAAGACTTTTGGGCCGCCTCCACCGAACTCCACAGATTTGAGTAATTCAGGGAGAATCTTCATCTTGAAGTAGTCCTCTGGGAAGTCATCTGATAGTTGATCTAGATCACTATCACATGTCAGCATTACGAGAGCCCGAGACAGGAATGATAACTCACTTCAAGAACTCTTCTCGTTCCTCCTCATTCTTCATACCAAGATTATCCACGCTGTCCGTCAATTTGATGAGTGGTGTCTGGAAGAAGCCGCCATTTCGCTGTCCTTGGTCCAAGAAATTCCCAACACTGACTCTTGCTTTAGGATTGCTATTGACCAGTCGTCTGTAACTCGAATGCATTGTCGGTGGAATGTTTTTAGTCTGGCCAGCCTGATCGCCCCCTATGAAATCGCCATTAAAGACTTCGAATATCAGAGTGCCGAAATTGTAGGCGTCTACCGCATGGAGAGGATGTCGTTTAATGTCGTCCCAGCCAGACTTTGCCAGCTCAGGGGGTGTATATCGACCAGCATCGGGAACAAGGCTTCCATAATTCTTCAACGAGTTAGAACTTTGTTAGGATTCCCAGAGCTGTGTATGCATACGTATATTATTGCTTCATCATCCTTCATGCTGCTCAAGACCTCGAATCCGCCAACTTTCCACTCCCCGCTCTCGCCTGTGTACAAGGATCCGACTCGTAGGGCGCCATGGACCGATGAAGCTTCGTCATTGATAAATTTAATTGATTTCTGCAAAGTATAGAGTTAGCTGGCGCCGCAGATCTTTGGACAACCCCAACATACTGCTACACCAAATAGCCCCCATTTCAAAGTCTCTGTGCTCATGCTCTTGCGCTTGATATGCCACTTCAAGGGAACGACCCTTTCCGTAGCAATGTATATGTATGATTCTGTCTATTCGCAGGTTGTTAAAGTGTATTGGCTATAGCGTTTCTCGAGTGTCCTACCTCCACTGTATCAAAGACCTTGATGACCCCCGGATGCCTCAAGGTTCGTAATTTCCTGACGGCATTCTTTGCCATTGGCAGACGGTTCTTATTCGCGGTAACATCGAAGGAGAATATACTACAATTCGATCCATCTTCCTGTAGTAAATTGTTAGAGGTCAAGCATAAAACTCGGAAGGCTGCTACCATACGCGCTTGGTTCCATTGTACAGAGTCCAGATACTGGTGTCTATATCGACTCGGTCGCCAAAGGTATAGGGAAATGGAGGTCCCTTTGAGATCGCCGAGGCTACAGCTGACTTGAAAAACTCCATTTGAAAGGAAAATGGAAAGCAGGAAGGTTAGATCCGCAGAACTATTTGGCAGATGGAGGGGTGTTCTTTTGGAAGTTACGGCTATGATTTGCGATATGTGGCATTATCGATGGCCCTATTACTCGTATAGGGGTACTTGTAGGGGTAGCCTCGTAGCCTCACCTCAGTCCCGCCCCCGCCCGCTACTGTAGCTCCCTCTCCCGCATCGTTATATCTCTCTGCTCGTTGTGAACCTCGAAACCGTTAAGCAAACAACATTCATCCAGATTCAACTCAATATGAACGATAATTGAATTGATACGCGTAATATTAAAGGGATATTTATATGTTGTTGAGATCAAGGGCAGAGAAAAACCAGGTTTCTTAGCAAGCCTAGCTTCCTCTTGAGCATAAGTAAGCTCCCCCCAGTCGCGTGATTGTTACTTGTTACTCATTATGATTTATAGTTTCTTTTGATTACGGAATTGATTTCTTTATTCACTTGGTTGTACACTTTATACGGACGAGTTCTTGTTCCCGGATAAGCAATGGATTCGACAACTTCTCGACCTTGTTCAGCCGGCAACCCAGCTTCAGATACTGATAGAACATCAATGGGAGGCGTATCAGATGCGGTCAACCCCTTCGCAAAGGTATGCATCTTCATCTCTTCAGGTCATACGTCTATGATGAAACAATCTGGTAAAAGGTCCGACTGCTTCAAAGCTTTTGACGGTTCTGGTCTCCACACCTCTACTGTTGATGCCGAGATGCGAAGCCACTTAAGTGTAGGTTGACGACTCAAATAAACTGAAAAGACCTGAGACGCACAATTTTCCTCGAGATATTCGGTTTAAAATGGGCAGAACCTATTACTAATATGTGAATAGAGACACAGCTTGGAAGACTTCAATGACTCCAGCTCTATTACTACCGTATCTTCGTCTACCGGTAGCCGGAGCAAGCATCCTTGCCATGTTTGCAAAGAATGGGGCTCGAAATCCAAACCCTTAATTCAATGCTCTAGATGTAACGGGAAATGGCACCCGTGCTGCCATAAGCCGGAGATCCTAGATACGAAGTATGTCTACCTCGCTGTGTTCTCTCTAAGCCATCTTGCTTATAGACTATTAGGGCTGCAGACTTCATGTGCCAGCGTTGTCAAAAAAAGGAAGCGAATCATCCCTCAACCTCATCAGCGCCTAGCTTCGTGCCCCAAGAGCCTCGCCGTTGCGAGGGCCCGAACTGCAGAAATCAACCTCTACTAGAACCCATTGGAGGGAAGGTTTTATGCAAGTATCACGTCATAGAGCAAAGGCATAATCAACAGAAGCAGGTGCCAGCGGTGACGATGGCCGCGCCTATAAAGAAACCTTTTCACAAAGATAAGCTGTATAATATCAAGCCGGAAGACAGGCATCTGCTAAAGCGCAAACGGACATCGAGTATCAATCCAAGGGACTCTTTTGTACCAATGGTAGCCAGAAAAGAAGGCAGCAGCAGCAGGGCAAGCAATCGCAGGCTCGCAACACGTACTGCAACTCTGTCAGATGATGATGAGATACCAGATCTTGAGCCTTTAGAAGACAATATTGAAAGAGCGAACCAGGAGTCATCTGCTCCGAACGACAATCCTTCTGCCGAAGGTCTACCTACATTATCTACACCCAACCTATTTACACCTACAGTATCTACACCTCCACTGCTTACACCACCACTCCCTACACTACCCGCAGTAACCTCAGTTCTAAACGGCAAGGAAAAGGAGCCAGAAACCAACACCTCTGCCAACAGCCTATTCGAAACCTCAATCCCAGCCCCAGCCCCACACCCCAACTCCATCGCAGCGCGGAAGCGCGCCGAAGACTTCGACACCACCGACCTCGACTTCTGGACGGCAAAGCAGTCCGAGTCCCAACCCGAGGACGAGCCCACCGAAAAACAGCTCCTCGAATCCCAACTCTGGGGCCACATTGACCCGCGCGTCGTCTGGCCCGAAGAATACTCCGAGGAATGGTACACGGCTAAGCGCGCCGAAATCGACGCCCGTCCATCCCGCAAACAGCGATTCGGCAAGGTGCGTCGCCAGCTAGACGAAAGGCACTTCAGCGAGCACCAGCTGAGCGAGCTGGAGCGTTTTGCGGAGGAGTTTGGCGGGATTAAGTTTTCGGAGGATTTCAGACCCGCGGTTGGGGAGGCGGGTTGTCTGGTTATGGTTGAGCAGAATGATACCCTTGACCGGGTGACGGGGGAGGTTAGGCGTAAGAAGAAGAAGGATCTGAAGATCTATCGGGTGGGTAATTAGCGGAACGTTGGATGGAGGCCAGGCCGGGCTGTTGATAGTCAGAGGCTCTGTGATGATGGAGGGATGGTCCTTTCTTTGCCTTGCGAGTATTGCTCCCGGAACGGATACCCAAGCTACATTCACAATGTATGCTAGAACCCTTCCGCTTCCCCTAATACGCAAAGACTAAAACTCCTAGATCCCAATCACACCACTAACATCACCCATCTGCATCCCAATCCTAACATCATAAACCCCCTCCCCCCTCCCCTCTCCGCACCGATCTTCGGATCCGCGCCCCCCCGGTTCTTTTGAAATTAAAGGAAATGAAAAGACTGACTGACTAGCTGATTGTCCGAGTGAAGAAAATTCTATATAGGGATAAGTAGAGTAGAGGACTTATCTATACCTACCTACCCACTTAAGATACCTATGAACATACATGGCTCAAACGTTCATTTCAATCCCTCTTCTTAATTAAAATCCCCAATCTACTTTTCTTTCATAGAACCAGGATTAGGATGAAGATTATGTTTTATATGCATTGTATTGTCGTATTATAGATATCCCAGATCAACTCAATATATACAACCAGAACGGTCAGTGATTAATTACAAAACCGTTAAACGCCATGCTATGTCTGTGATCAGCCAACTATGAGTTAATCAATCATTGCTGCTGCCAACTAAAAGGCCTCGGACTCGGGGTCCCGGTACTCCTAGCTGGCGTATCAATATCCCTCCTTGCATTCCGCTGCTGTTGTTGGCTAGGTAAACCCTGCCAATCCATCCTCCTCCGATCTTCACCACTCAACTCAGCCAGTTCATGCGGCGCCTCCAACTCGAACCTCCCCACCGTACTCTCCTCCCTGGCCGCCAACTCCGCCATCAGCTCCTCGGCGCTCATCTCCACGTTGCCGTAATGGCTGGATCCGTACATCTCCGGCGTCTTCTCGCCCGGCGTATCGAGCTCATGCTTATACGCCGCTGGATATGGGTCCCCAAAGATGCCGAGATCGTTTTCATGTCCGTTCGAATTTGTGTTTCCGGCTGCCAGAGCAGCTTTGTGCTCTTGTTCTGCCTGTGCGGCGCGCTCGATGGCCTGCGCGAGCTCGGCGGATTTCTGTTCTGCTGCAGCGCGACGGCGGTGGCGGAGGAAAAACCAGACGCCGAATGCGAGGGCGGCGATGGCAGCCACGCCTGCTATTATTCCGCCTACGATGGCACCGATGCTGGTTTTTGTTGTCTTTTTTGCTGTTGCGCCGGGGATAGTAGTGCCATTGCCTGATGAGGTATCAGTCAGGTTCTTGGGGAGTATGTCAACGGTATGCTTGGCGGCGTTGAGCTCCCATTTGCGCTGCGAGACGGAGAAGTTGGAGCGCCCGTAGTCGACGGTTAGGTAGGCTTCTTGGAGGAAGACGCGGCCGAGCGTGTATTGGGTATCGTTGTCTGCGCGGTGTAGGGGAAAATAACGTTGTGTGGTGTTAACAAGGGGGTAGGAAACCTCGAGGTCAAATGCTGCGTAAGGAAATGTGATATTAATGCTGGCTGTGCCTGCGAGTGTGGGTGCGAGAGTGAAAGTAAGACTGGTGTTTTGCGTTTGCAATGCAGTGTGCTGTGTGTCGTTGACGAGATATAATTCTGTCGTCTCGTCGTATACAAGGCCAAAGGTGGACTCGAAAGCGGTGCATGCTTCGAGGGGGAGCCATATTTGCGAGACGGTGGTGTCAATGAGAGTCAGTATACCATTAGGGAGTAGTGATTCTCCACCGCTTCCGGTGATGGATTTGAGTCCGACTGTAAGATCCCTCGATTGATCGTAATAGAAAGGAAATGTAACACTGTTATCCTCAAACAGAGAATCATCGTATCCACCCAACGTCAAACTTCCCAGCACCTTGTTCAACCTATACTGTGCTCCAGCCGTATAGCTGTAGCTCAGACTCGGTATCTTCAAGTCCTCATACAATAGACTAAGATAGGAAGGCTGGGGATGATTGAAGTCGGAAAAATTTGTCGGCCTGGGGTTCAAGCCCAACATCCCGATATAATAATCCATCGTTTGTAATCCAGCAACAACCGTGTGATTCAACGTCGGTCCTCCGCTGCCTTGGAACCCCAACCCCACCGTGTCCCAACCAAATTGTCCTTCATCAGCCGCATAATTCGTTCCCAAGTTGGATTCGATATTTAAACCCCAGGGGCCGTTGTCCAACCAAGACGTGCTGGCCGAGATGTTGAAAGGAGAGCCGCGAGTCGTGGAACAATTAGAGGGGATATTAGAACCTTGACAGCCTTGAACTGCAACCACCCATGTTGATGTCGAAGCTGTCGATATCAGGACTCGAGTATCTTGCGCAGGTGAGCCGACCAAGATGGGAAATGAAGACCATGGTCCATCATTGCCTTCCCTATTCAAGCGGTCAGTTCCGCAGCGCGTAAAAGCAATCACAATCAAAACGCGATCACGATCAGACAAAACCCCAAACTCACCAGTACTGACTAGGTGCGATATCAAGAGCGGTAGGAGTCGTTGCTGCTGCGACGTTTGCAACAAGACATATCGTGATCCATAGCCACAGTGCTGCAGCGGTGTGAGGACCAACGTCTGGTGTTGTCCGCTTGGGCGCAGTCCAGATTTGGCGCATTCTAGCAAGCGAAAAGACAATTCATCTCTGGTTAAACGGTGTCCGTATACAACACGCACAACTTCAATATCGAACCTCACCAAACGAGCGACCGTATTGAAGATTGAAAGACAGAGGGACGAAAAGGGAAGACTGGACTGGACTGGACTGGACTGGACTAGAAGAAGGAAAGGAGTTTACGTGTAAAGGGCTGAAGGATTCTATTCCTCGAGGACCCCATGCATGAAAGCCAGCGGCACAGCACCAGGAAACGTGGAAATCCCAAGGCCCTACTTGTACGCACCGGCAGCAAACGACCCAGGCGCCTAAGGAAAGAGATTATTGGCTGATAATATTATTTTGGGGGAGAAGAGCAAGGGCCATCGTCCGTTCCCTTGGCTGTGTCTGTGCTCGAATCTCGATGCTTCAAACAAGCCAGACTTTTTAGACAGCACTAGAAAACTCTCCCTTTCCCCTCTCCCCTCTCTCCTTCTCCATCTCACTACATCTTTGTACGGTGCAGAGTACACACACAGCATATTCCTGTCCTCACGGGCAGTCTCCCAAAAGTGGTGTATTGGTGGGTCGATCTCACTCATTTGTTCCTGGGTCTCCACTTTAAATCTTAGAATAGGTAACGCGGGCGTTTAACTCTAAATTAAACTCTCAGCCCCCAACAGCGGCTACTGAAACCTCGGTAAGAAGGTACAGGATTGTATCACGATAGCCTGTGAATGCCGCTACATGTCTAGAAGGCTTGACCTCAGTTCTACCTTACCTTACTCCGTATAACACGTACAACCGCCAAGCGCTGACATACGGATCGCAGGTCTTGGATTCGAGGGTTCTTGCTTAACCCCACCAAGCCCCGCCTTCGGGACTCCTCCATGCCAAAGTATTCCTCAATGTTGGAGCCTCGGGTTGCTACAATACTTACGGCCTTCAAGTCGGACATCGTCTAACTGCTTCATGCATGCTATTTGATCTCATTTCAATGTTATCTTCTCTTAGCAGTCCCAAACCACCCATCTCTATACAGTATAATAGCCACCTTGCCATCACGCATGGCTGTGTAATTGTTGCACTCACCTAGTATTCCTTTATTTGATTCCTTCCGTGATTACACCCGGACAGTCTATCAATTCCTCATCTTCTCCAAAACACCACGCGGTGATGCCTTACGAGGAAGACCTTACCTACCGTTAATAAGACTCGAGCACCTGTCTGACGGCTTATCTTATAGCTAGATCCGACATCTCTCGAAATCCTCTCGCAGTTCCAGCTGGCGTCACAGCCAGGTTTAGCATCCTCTACTATCCCGCACCCGCACACCAAGCCCTCTCGAATACACCTCTACCAGCGTCTCAGAGTACTTCAAAGTAGGTAGGTATTGCACATACGAGTTCGACCTACCCACCTCAATGTCATCTCTGAAGACCTGTATTGGGCCCGGAATCAACACCAGGCCGTATACCGCCGTACCCTTCCAAGAACCACGGGATTCCCCCCTCTCGAGTGAAAATCAACTTGAACTTCAAACTCAAACATCCATCGCGCTTTCAACCTCCAACTGAAAATTGCAGATTCCAAACCACTACTTACTGTATACAGTCACGAACATTTGCATCGCAATGACGGGCATCCTAGGTATTATACCTACGCCTTTGAAACCAGGAAAAAAGACTGATTGAGTCTTACTTTATCGAATAATATCTTTCCTTATCTGTCCAACGTTACTGTAGAGTTCTAATCTATTTAATTTGGGTACTTTCGTTGCTTTCTTTTCTGGTTCCTTTCCTCTCCAATTGTTGCTTGGGGTACTTTTACTCATTCTGCCTTATTTTCCTTTCCTTTCCTTTCATTTCTCAGGCTGTACGTTACCTAGAGGTTATTTGTCTGTTGTAATTCCCAGGTTCTTCCATCGACGTGGACGATCTTCCATACGCGCCCTTCTCCCCTCCACTCTTCAGCACCACAGTAATACCGTAGATCCTCAACGTCAAAGTTGGACTCCATCTCGCCGAACCTGACTCGCTTTATGTTGTCTTGCGACGTCGCTCTTGGTTTGGTCGGCATACAAGTACTCCTGCTCCGACCTCAAGGGACCTGACTGCATTCTCTATACCTGGATGCGGCGGCATACTTGAAGCAGTTCATCGGCGAAGATCCAGATACCTCCGTATCTACAAATACGGACCTTGGAGGTAATTTGCCGCCACAAGCGGTGTATACTTAAAGTTTTCAAATGACGTGAAGCCGGCGCACCGCCAAGGCCAAATATTGCCTCTTCTAGGACTAGCTCCCCTCTTGGCCCAATCAAACTGCCGTCTTTGCTCCCGGCGGATTTATATCGGAATGGTCTTTGGCCTTAGGGCTGAATCAAGCTAGCTACCCGCCCCAGCAAGTACTTTCGCACCAATGGCAAGGCTGCTTGGTACCTGCACCGTGTTCCCGACCTTTCCTTTCCATCATCCATTCTTTCCTCCTGTTGCGATGACGGACTACAATACGGAGAGTATCCAGGTACGGAGTAGGTATATATATACATGAGTCGAGTATTCTCCACCGGCCATCATTAATTAATCCTTTACCCCACTCGCTCCCACTTCACCTGTTTGTTCCATTTCCCTTCAACTTTTCTTTCCTCAATTTCTACTGTTTCCTACCTCCCTAACCGTACCCCTCTTGCCTTCAATCTCAGCGAATCTATCTCAAACCCCCACTTTGCAGATTGGAGCTCATAGCTTGTACTTCGTGCTTTACTGTTTACTGCTTTACTGTCTACAAGAGCTATCAATGCCTCTCGACCTGGGTCGTCGTATCAAGGCGGGATGGCAATCTCTTGGTATCAATACCAAGATGGTATGTATAATGTTCAAGTAAGTACCGTTCCACCCCCCACCTCATGGGCCATAGCTACGCTTCTTCGCCCATGCTACTGAAGCATTGCTAGCTATCGACTAACCATTGATCACACAGAGGGTCTATACCGGTTGCAATCTCGCTGGGAATATATCAGAGCACTGCTGTATCTGAGGTCTACACTTCTTTGGGCTTCTTGGTGTCCATTATTGCTGTCGTCACTGTCAATATTTTACCCCGTGCAAAGTTAATTCAAATGACATTTACGATATGCTTCTTCACAGCTATAGCCATCCCGGTAACCATGCTCGCTACCTGGTCGGGATTACAAGCTCGTTTTAACACCGATCCCCACGGTTTGAATAAATACAACTCTTCACAAAGTGGTATGTAAAGACATGGCGCACAAAGACACCGGGATGCGGATGCTGACTGGTATACTTAGCAATTACTGGCGTCTGGCTTTTCGTTAATATCTTGCTAAGTAATAGCTTACAAGCGAGATATCCAGAACTTCTAATTCCGACCATTTTATACAACATCTTCGTCATTGTTCAATTTACGTCCTGCTCGCGATTTGACACATGGAAACAATGCTGGGATCTGATCTACCTCACCATAAGATGCTACTATACTGGTGTTGCCATTTCTTTTGTATCCGGAATACTTGTCTATCCTGTCACTTGCCGATCGGAAATTTTCGAGGTTCAAGAGAAGTATATCGAGGCCCTCCGCGACATGCTGGATGGGGTTTCAATATATCTGGGTCGCCTAGTTACGACACCAGCTATTACTCCTGCAAGTGCTGAAACCAGCATTGAAGGTGAAAAGGGACAACTTGAATGCGATGGTCCAGCTTTGCGCCAAAGGATGGCTTTAGTGAAGAGTCTGTATACCAAGATGCACCACGAGCTGGCTATGGCAAAAAGGGAGATTGCGTGGGGAAAGCTACGTGCGAAGGATATCACTGCCATCAGTGATCATTGCCGGAGAATCCTGATGCCTCTGTAAGTTCATCCCAGTCTACTTCTCTGCCTTGCCTTTCCTTATTGACCAACATACGGATCTGGAAATGAAAGCTGGCTGACGATAATCCAGGGGCGGTATGGCCAACCTTCCAGATATCCTTGGACGAATCACAGAAGATGGTGGATGGGTTCGGCACGAAGTTGTGCCCAATTCTGACGATAAAGACCAAAACTCCGAGTACAAAAGGTCATATGGACAAGAGGAATACGAGATAATATGGCAAAATTCCATCACCGCCCTGGTCGAATCTGCTACAGTCACTGTGGAAGCCATAAAAGATGGTCTTGAACATGCTGCTCTACAACTAGAAATCATACCCAGACCGGGGACTAGGTATTATTTCTGGTTGCCAGGTGTTAAAAGGACCGAGAAGACAGATATTGAAGCCGAGGGTGAGGTTATTAAGCCTGGAAGCCCGCAGTTTTCAAAACTCTTGAAGGATAAATTGGTTGAATTCTCGACACGGAGAGTCGAAGCCCTGACGGCCTGGGCGGACTGTAAAGGTCTTTCGGCAGCCCAGGTAGAGAAGTTACAAAGCATGGGTGATTTTGACATTGATGAAGATCCGGTCGATGGCCATGTTCGATTCCTAAAAGATCGCCGACAGCTGTATCTCATCCTCTACGTTCAATACATGGTAAGTAAAAAGCACAGAAGACATAAAGGGTCGTGATTACTTTTGGGACATAGCTGATATCAAGCACCAGATTTACACCACCGGTGTAGCTGTTTTGGAATTGTGCAAGTTTTCTGATACCATTGTTGCCGAGGGAATCCTATCGAGGAACCGTCTCATTGTCCCCTCCCTTCGAAGACTACGGAAATGGTTTGTCAGTGTTTGGGATACGAGAGAGGCAGCTTTGGCCGATGATGATCGACCTAGTTCAAATAAAGAGGCCAAATTGCTATATGGTGTTTCTAGGCGAAACACACGCAATATCGACCACCTTCCACCTAAAAATTCATTCGAAAGATTTGGAATTCACATACGAAAATTCCAAGAATTCCTCAAAGGACCGGAATTTAGTTTTGGTTTTAGATCAGCGTGGTGAGCAGCAATACTTTGTTTTTTAGGGTGTTTTTTATTGACTGGATATTCAGTGCAACTCTTTCTTGCGCTATTATTGCATATCTTCATCAAACCCAAGAGCTTTTTACTCACTACCGTCTCATTTGGTCGGTCATTATAGCAGCCATTGGCGCTAACATGTCGGCTGGACAATCCGGAGTATCATATGTGTTGAGAATCTTAGGTTCATTTGCAGCATTGATAATATGTTATGCTGTATGGTATATTCCTGATGGCAAGGTTGCGTAAGTTGCCACATCCATCTATACATTCAGATAGTTCATTTCACTGACAATCTTTCCTTTCTTTTATAGAGGTGTGATTGTCATCATGTGGTTTGCATCTTTCCTCCAGATGTACTTTATAATCAGATGGCCCCAGTACATCATCGGCTGGCTCGTCGTCTTCATCACCGAAGTCCTCTCGATCGGCTACGAGCTCCAAGTAAGCAAGATTGGTATTGTGGAGGCAGAATCCGGAGGAACCGATGTCTTCCCACCATACTACGTAGCAGCCATGCGCGTAGCCTGTGTGTTGTGGGGAACATGCGTATCGATTATCTTCACCTATTTCCCCTACCCCATCACCGCCCGAGGCATTCTCCGTAGAGACATGGCAAACATCATGCAGCTACTCGCCAATTACCATGCTGTGGTTCACAGCACTATCAAGACTCGACTACGTGGTAACGAGGGCGACGCGAATGATAAACATAGTCGCGGTCGTGTATTGTCACATATGCGGAAAGCAATGTTCAACAAGATAATGCTGTTCAACTCGACGGTCAATCATAACGTCTACCTTCAAAAATACGAACCTACTTTAGGCGGACGTTTTCCCGTGGCGGAATTCAAAGATATCGCGTCACAGCTCACTGTGTAAGTAATGTCAATTTTGCCCCACACTCCTCCCTCCCATATAGAGATGAATCCATATATATACAAGTCTTCCATAATTCCTAACCATCTCATCCAACAGCCTCCTCGACTACATATCCCTCCTCTCCTACGCGACCCAAGCCTGGGGCGCCGACGGCCTCGCCACCCAATACTTCCAGCAAACGCCCACGTCGCGCACCTGGCTCCTCGACCTCTCCCGCCTCATCGCGCCCCTCTCCCAGACCGAAGAAGGCGTCATATCTATCCTCAGCCAACTCTCCGCCGCCGTCGCCACAGGCCGTCCTCTGCCCCCGGGCACACTACCCCCCGCGCCCTACGCGCTCTCTAAACGCCTGCGCGAACTGGATCCAGAGGTCTTGCATATTAAACATATGCAGGAGTTTGGGTACTCGGCGTTTGCGGTCATGGAGGTCCTTACGGGTATGATTACGTTCCGCATTGGGGGGTTGGTGGAGAAGGTTGAGGCGTTGGTTGGGGTGGTTAGTTTTGATTTTCTGGACGAGGGGTTGGATGGTGATGATAGTGGGGGGGAAGGGGGGGAAGGATGAGTGAGTGAGTGAGTGAGTGAGTGAGTGAGTGAGTGAGTGAGTGAGTGAGTGAGCTTTATCAGGTTTATGGAGTTGGTGGTGTTATTCATGGGCGGAGTATGCGGTTGTCGGGTTATATTTATCATAGGTTTGATCTTGTCTTGTCTTGTATATCAATCATATGCAAGGTACAGTTTAAAGGTAAAAGGAAGCGGGCAAGCGGGAGGGCGTCTTGTATATATACCTAGCTAGCGGTGTTTAATCTATTCATTCACAATAACCTAGATATATATGCAAAGAGGCAGGATTCCTTCTCATCAGCGTTAATCGTTACTCGTTATTTATATCCATCCCAAACCCCACCCCACCAATCATCCTAACCCTAACCGAACTTAAAGCCCCTCTTCGGATCCCACGTCCCAGACGACGGCTGTCCCTGTCCCTGTCCCGCAGACCCCCCAAACTTAATCCCCATCTCAGGCGCCCACACACTGGGCGCAATCGGCGCAGGCGTAGTGCGTGTTGGAATCGGAGCCGGCATTTCCTCTCTCTGTTCCGGCGGAGGATAGCTCTGTGGCGCAGGCGGCGGGTTCGGGTTCGAAGAGCGCGTGTTGTAGGAACGCGGCATCGGCGCCGGCTGTAGATTCAACTGTCCCAAGGGCGGGAGGTTGAGTTCCTGTTCTAGCCTTAATGCCTCCTCGCGCCTCTCGTACACAAAGCCCTTTGCACCATCCCTGAACCGACCCAAGATCTTCGCGAGGTCGTTGTAGAATTTCCGTCCGCCTTCGAGGTCTTTTACTATTTCTAGGTATTTGGAATACCCGTTTTCCAGTTTGTTCAACGCTTGTTCGCGTTCTCGAGACCCGGAATCACCTTGCCGTGCTGCGACGAAAGCTGCATTGGCGGATTCGAGAGAGCGTATTAGTTGTTCTTGCTCTTCGGCTTCGGATTTCAGGGTTGAGAGGTCCGTGTCGTATTTTGATAGGCGTCTTTCAAAGAAATCTTCAAAGTGAGCTGGGACAACAGTCTGTGATGGGTATTCTCTCTCTAGCCTCGCTGCTTCTGCTAAGATACTGCTGTTGATGTCGTCCTTTTTGGCTTTTTCGCGCAGGGCTTCGATTTTGCGCCGTCGGCGCGATTCCAGGCGTGATATTTCATTTAAACTGTTTCGGAGTCGTGAGACTTCTGCTTCGAGATTTGGTGCAATGTCGACGCGGCGAGAGGAGGGGACAAAATTTCCGATGTCGCGGTCGGATGAGGAAAGGAGACGGAGCATGTCTTCGCAATCTCGAAATTTGGACTGGACCAAGGCATCACTGTTTGCTGCACTTTTCAAGTAAGCGTCAATTTCGCCAACTTGGGCGTAGAGCTTCTGGGCTGCTGCTTGTGAGGGGGCACGAGCCCAGCGGTCAGTGCCATACTTCATTAAGAGTCGTTCGTTCTCCGATGCTTCAGCTTGTAGTAGGTCGCGGCCTTCAACAAACATGGCTTCGTCAGATGACTTAAGTGTTGCCGTGTCGGAGAAGGATCGTTGGAGACGTGTGAGGGCATCTGTTTGGCGGATCTCTTCGGCGTGGGAGACGATGCTTGGTGGGAGGCCGAGCGGTTTCTCCAGGGCTTGGAGTGATCCAGGAAGGTTTAGTGATCGCAAAGTGTCATGGATCTTGGTTGTTAAGATCTCTAGCTCGTCGATAATATTGTTATTCACTAGGCGATCTCTTCGTTCTTCATAGATGCTAGCAGCAACATGTACCGCGAATGGTACAAGCTTAGCGAAAAGGGGTGGGCCAAATTCCTTGTCCTCTCCAATGAATGTAGATGGCTCCGAAATTTCTTTTGGAACTCTTGCAGCAGCCATAGTCGCTCGTTCTAAAGTCTTGAGCTCTGACTTGGGCGGTATGGGATCTAGATAGTTAGCAAAGTATTAGATGAGAACAATAGTGCTTACTAAGATAAATTAGATCATTGTCTTTCTCGGCTCTCTTTAGATCTTCCGTGACTTTATTTTTCAACCCATTCAAGTCTGCTAAGACCACCTTATTAAGGTAGCGAGCCTCCTTCAACGCATCATTGGCACAAGCAATACTATCTCTCAGCCTCGCAACTTCCTCCCCATATTTCCTCTTTTCCAAACAATCGCACGCCTGTCGATATTGTGCAGCTGCAGCAAAATGGTTGTGTTTGGCTGTTGCATGATGTATCCACTCGGAACTGATAGCTTCGCTTTTCACACCCCAATCTCCAGCCGCACCGTAGAAGTCCGAGACCTTGGCAGCTAGCTTTGCAATAGAAGCGTCTTTATATCCATCCATTACTGCCTTTTGCCAGAAGCATTCTTGTGCTTGAGCTAGCATAAGGTATTCTAGAGATTCAAGAGTAGAATCGTCCATGTCTTCCGGGGGAGTTGTGTCTCGCAGTTCGAGATGGACTTCTGTTCTCAGGTGAGAGAGAACTCCGGCGGCTAGACAGAAGTAGTTGGATGCTAATTTCAATCCTTCTGTTGTGCTGCGATTCGAGGAGACCGCCAGCTGGGAATAGAGGGCGGCGAGGTTGAAAAGGACGTTTGCTTGTTCGAATTTGAGATTGTTCTCTGATATTGGTCGATCGGTGTTATAGCCTAGCGCTGCGTACCAAGTGAAGTCTGCTCCAATCTGCTATTCTGTCAGCTTCTGAGAGTCCTTGGGAAAAGTGGAAGCATACGTCTATGGGGAATTTACCCCCCATCCAAGCAAGTTGCCCCGCATAGGCAGCTATCTTCTTGATGCCACTTTTATGCGGCTCCCGCACATTCACGGCATCTCTCCGCAGAGCATCAATGACCTCCAGGTCCTGCTTGAACATATCGGGGTGCTGGTCATATTTGCTAGAGATATATTGCTTGATTGCTGCGGAGAGGGCGAGGCTGGCTGTCTTGCGGAAGGGGAGAAAGAGGATGTTGCTGGAGAAGTTAGTATGGACATGGGTATGCTAGAGAAAGAAATAAGGCTTACTTGGACATTTTAGCCCGCGCACGTTTACGTGCCTGTTGCTCAACGCTTGGTGGTGTTCATACATCTCGGCGCTGAGACTTGCGATGACTTCATTATGCCTAATATGCAAGGCATCAGTCAAGGCCACAAATGGCATGAGCATATACGAGTCAGGTGATTGTGATCTAGGTATCAGCCTATCAGGTCAAACATCTTCACATGTTTCAAGTCCCCAGTTTCACCTCGTGGTACGGAGTAAGCACAGTTTTCATAAACGAGGTACGGTACAAGTCTTAAGTACGATTTATGTTTCTACTGTATCAAGCATGGATTATACAGTCTATTCTAAACCTCACGTTTCATATTCATCCCATCTACGAAGTAGAAGTACTTCGTAACCGATACTAAAAAATGGCACTACCTGTACGATATACCCATCCCATGATTCCCATCCCGTACCGGTAGACAAATGCCGACTCCTTTCACAAGACAAGCTTTCTCTTGGTTGCGTGTTCGTTCGTTCGTTACTCCATACAGTACCCGGTGCCAGCGGAAGGATCAAAAAGGGTTGCTCGGAGTACTCCACTCCCTACAAGGGTCCAGATGGTGCCAGTGGTGGGGCCCTCTCGGCGCTCCCTTGGCGCTTCCTCGTCAATCGGTTCTTCTACAGTACATGACAGACAGATCTGCGTGTCAGGAGTAGACAAGCTTTTGAGACATGCTGGCCGTCAAGTGAAAATGTTTGTTTCAAGATACCCGTCACAGCACATCACAGCACAGCAATGGACATGAACCTACCAAGTATATAGTAAGGTGTATGGTATCGGTATTCGTACATTCCATCCACTCACTCACGTTGCCATGTAATAATAATGTTGAAGCACAGACGTATGTTTTTATAGTGCGCGCACGGGTACGTACGTCTACGGAGTATTAATCTTCTGCCGCGTATACAGATAGTCAGATTTTGAAAGAAAAGGGGTGACACAGCCTCCGGACCAGTAGCTCACGGAGTAGCCCCTGGGCCCTGAGCATATTATTCCCAATGATAAAGAAGCTTAAAGTGGACTTTTAACAAGCGGCTGAATATCCATTCTTGAATCAGCCAGAAGATGATCTTTATTGGAAGGATAATCGACCCTCAGATTCCTATTGGCTGATGATGCACTTATACTCGGGTATCCCTTGTCCACCCCGTTTGTTGCGACGCTGCCAGCCACAGAAGTTAAGCGGAATCTGCACCCCCGCCGTGATCAACGACATCTGCAACACCTAGTCCAATATGGAAATTCCCAATGTCCTGTCCTTGCAGTTCACATTTCAACATCCCAGCCACGAGTGGAGGCTGCAAGCCCTCGAATCGTTCGTTAATAGTGCTGCTCAGTACGTTGAAAGTTGAAACATCGCCCCTTATCTGCAACTCCCGTCGTAATTGTTCCATCCATGTCTGCTTGTGGTAGGTGGATGAAAACTGGAGCACGTTGAAAGATCTTCTGAGATAGGAAGGGGACGGCAAGGTTCAATCCCAGCTTGCATGCAGGTACAGTTACATCTCTTCCATCTTCCTACAGTCCAACAGAACAAAAGGAAGCGGCCCCCGTTGCGTCCTCGTCCTCGACCTTTGCTCTCTCATGTTCCACTCTTCGTTTTCATAGCCAGCTTTCTTTCACCTCGCCCCTTGGCGCTCTCATCCTCTCCCTTTTGGTTTATCTGTCTCTTGTTTGCTCAACTTGAAGCCCCTCACTCATTATGGGTGCTTCAATGGCCACCGGTGGCAGTTTTGCTCCCCGTAACTCTTTTACACGGGCACTCTTTTTGACCGTCTTTTGCTTCGTGCTCTTCATCTACACTTTTAAACCTTCATCTATGGAACATATTGAACACCTTCGGCCGCCACAGATGCACCCGCAGCCAAACAATTCTTATGCACCCGAGCGTCAGTCGGATTGCACGCTCAAGCAGTCCTCGCTCATGCAATTGCAAGAAACATACGAATTGGGTGATGAAATCGAATATGCTCGTCGTTATGTTCGATTCAATCGCCAAGACATTCCCCGTAAAGCGATAACAAAGCTTGACACGGACCTGTTCCCCAGAGGATTTGACTCAATTGATATTCGCAATCCTCCGCCGAGGACAACTTGCCTGAAACCAATCGATGTTCCTGTCCCGAGGTCTCCAATTCCATACACTGTCAATGCTTCGGAGCTTCTCTTCGGTATATCAACTACGTATTCAAGACTGACGGATGAAGAAATATCTCCGATCAATGAGTGGGCGCACTGGTTGACAGATGGAAATGGGAAGTCAAATGGTGCAGGGCTGATCCTCCGTCTCATCGACGCCAGTCAAGAGGAGTTGGAAGAGGCTCGGCATGTAATGGCTTCGATGGGAATGGACGTGAAAGTCTATCCCACTGATAGTTCCATTGAGATGGCAAAGCGATACCTCTCCCTCTTACCAGCACTCTACAAAGACAGTTCCCGGCCAAACCGCAAATTCCTTGTCTTAGGTGACGATGATACTTTCTACCCGTCGATGCATTCTCTTCTTCACGAACTCTCTCAATACGACCACAAGAAAGATCTCTACCTCGGCACTCTCTCAGAAGATACCAACAACATCGCACGCCACGGATCCCAAGCCTTTGGCGGAGCCGGAGTATTCTTCTCCCTCTCCCTCGCCAAGAAAGTAGCCGATAAATTCGACCACTGCAGCACAAACGAGAAGATCGGTGAGTCCGACACCGGCTGGGGCCCCCAAGGCGACATCCTCCTACGAAAATGCATTTACGAAAACACCGAGACAACACTCACGCTCATGCGTGACCTTCATCAACTCGACATCCAAGGTGATCCCGCGGGGTTCTACGAGGCAGGCCTCAAACCCCTATCACTGCACCACTTCAAAGGCGGCATGTGGCACAAAGCGCGGCCATACGAGGGCGCTCAAATCGTGCATGCATGCGGCGAAGACTGTTTCCTCCAACGTTTCCAAACAGCGGATGACTTCGTCATCTCCAACGGCTTCTCCATCGCCTACTACCCGCATGGTGTTGATTTCAACCTGCATCAGATGGAGAAGACCTTCACTGCAGCGCCCGACGACTATGGCTGGAACCTCGACTTCATGCTCGGGCCCCAGCGCAAAAATCTCCTGTGGACGGGCCGTAAGGTCGCCTGGGAGCTGATGGAGTCGTTAGTACAGCACGATGGCTCGGTAAAACAGATCTATATCAGGAAAGCGGATGATTACCGGTGGACGTATGGGAAGGATGGGAATCGGATGTTCGACAAGGACGGTGTGTTGGAATTGATTTGGATCTCGTCGTGAAGCGACGCAACTCATCGCTGAGATGAAATGGGAGTCTTGGATACGCTTGCCAAGCTTGGGATGTCTTTCTTTTGTTTTTTATACCTGGCGCCCTGGCGCAAGGCAAGGTCCGAACAGTTATATCTGTCTGAGATATGTATCTTGCATGAGCGAATGGCGTTGTGTCTTTTTTTCCGATGGGAAGGAAATGTATAGATGGATCGATTGATAGCATCGATGTGAATTAGATGAGTTGTACAATTATATACCTATATATTTATTGGAAAAAAGAAAATCCACATATATGAATATCTCCCTTCCTCTTCCGATTCTCTTACTCGGTACATTCTCCATAGTATGATCAATTCACCACATCCATTCAAAGCACCTTGGCGAGCTCTATTCATCACCAACTGATGCTGAATTAAAGTTTCACATGGATGCTACTCCTCTCCTTACTCCATACCTCTCTTGATCCTTCACGCACCCACCATCCTGCATCCATTCCTTCGCGCCGATCCGCACAGTGTACCGCGTAACGGCGTACGGAGTAATCCCTAGGACCCCAATCTCACATAATATGGAGCTCCTTTCCTTTTTCTATTCCCGACCCACACCACACACACGCACTTTGACCCACATCACACGACGGTACCGGTAGTTAAGGCAGGAACCCTTTATTTATTTATTTATTTCTTTCATTCTTCAAAAACAAACTCCTGGTATATAAGTGATTAGAAATCCCTTCATGATTAATGCATATAAGTAGAGTATAGTAAAGTAAAGCAGAATAATAATACAGATGTCGTAAGTACAGATGTTGAGAAATTGCGAGGGACGGGGCGGCGTTTATCTTTTCTTGCGGAGGAAGGTCGAGCGAGCATACGCCGTAAGGGAACGTGACTAGCTAACGAATTCGGTAGGGTTTTGCGCAATACTTTGCAGGCAGTGCAGTGTAATTAAATGACGCAATTTAGTGGGTTTGAGTTGCGTACGAACTGTACGGAGGTACGAAGGTCCTTCGTACAGGCCAAAAGTTGTGTCAACAGGGGGCTCCTGTCCTTAAGGGTTTGATTGGCTGCAGTCTTGCTAACCATCAAAACATCACCCAAATACACCCCTGCAAGAATCCCTGGTGACATAACTTTTGCCCTGTACCTCCGTACAGCTGTTGCATTTCTACGTAAGTACCGGCACCTCGAGGTTTATATAAAGGAGTAGAAAAGGCCATGTGACTGGCTGGGATGAGATGAGGTGAGGTGAAATATACAGACGTGTATAATGTGACGTCGTGATTGATTGTATTTTATTCTATTATATACTAGCTGGTCCGGGTAGGAAAATTATTTCTAGCACACACTGCATAGACAGGCATAGAGTAGGACTGGATGATGCCGGCAGCTGATTGGTTGCTGTGCTTGAGTAAACGCGAGATGGTTGTACTTCGTAGTTGATGTGAAGTTTTTTGCTCTCTTTATGTGCTAAGGGAAGGGAAGAGAAGGGAACGACGAAAGATAAATGATAATAATAAATAGGAAAGGAAAGATAAAGTAATAAAGAAGGTCTCAGCACTTAACACTACTCATGATCTACTCTCCTCTCCTGTCTGAAAGGGCGAGAGATCGCTATACTATAACATGGCATGACACATCTTGAATAAATGTCTGGGAAATGTAGAATGATATCCAGGAATTCTATAGGTAAATAGAAAAGCTTTGCAGTCCCAAATCACATCATTATCTCAGTGATATGCTATTGCGCTTTTAGGCTTATTATATGCAATAATACCTAGGACTTAGGTATATAAACAGCATATGTATAATATAGCTTACTAGAGTAACTAGTTATAAGCTTGAAATCCGAGAATTAGACAAAGCATGCTCGGGAACAACAAGCTATAAAGAACAAGTACTATAGCGAAGAAGATGAGAGGGGCAAAGATTGCCAAAGCAGATTATATAAGGCGGGAAAAGGAATGCAATGTCGCATTTCAAGACAAGGCGTCAATGACCAAATTCCCCTTCCCTCCACTTCCACGGTGCACAACAAATCCGATTGCATCGCATATCTCAAATTCTCAGCACCAGCGTACCAAGACAATGTCAAGCATTTCCTACAACGTTCTGCCCTTTTCTCAAGGTTCAGAAAACCTTTTGGCATGAGGACCACTTTGTATCCTGCCGAGAAGATCTAAGACCGGAGTTTCAAACGCTTGCGAATTCATTATTTTTTATATTGAATCCATGGTACGAAGAACTCAGTTAAAAGCAGCGGAGCGCTATTATTTAAAAATCGAACAAGTTCATCCCCACATGACCCTGCCAAGCAGGGGAAGCGAGGGTCTGAAGATGTAGCTAGGCTGCATTTCATGCTAGTATCTGCATATATATAGGTCCAAGAATAGGTAAAATCATATGGTTATGTGTGAAACTAGTTTCGCTTCCTTCTATATAGCAACATAGGAGATCCTATGATATTGCCTCTGTGTTTATATCATGGCGTGATGATAGAAGTATAGTAAGGGCGAGGGGGGCGGTTTACGGGTGGTGGTGTTTACTACTTTAGCGAGGCCCTTCAGGGGTCGATAAGGGACAATCATCTAAAACGTCTCGTAAGACTATTCTTCAAAATTGGGAGCCACGATATTATCTAATCCGATGGTATATTCTCCAGATTGTGATGCTTAGTATCAATCAAAATAATTAGAATATGTATAATCCGCTGGGGAGTTTACAATAGTCTAGAGGCTGAGTCGGGTGGATTGCATTGTCGTGGCTCATATCGTATAAGGCTGCTGCATTAGTATTAACGAGCAGAGCTTAAATTTATTAGACAGTCTAGCATATTAAGGAAAGGGTGCTTAATATATTATTGTATACTATCAATAGAGCAAAATCTGGAGTTTCGAAGATATACGGAAATAAATCAGGGGTATGGGGGGAGAGGACGGGGCTTGGAATGTGGGGCTCGGATGTACGCGTAGAGCAGCATCTAGGCTGCCGTATCAACCTCCTCCTCTCCTTCAATAAAGTACGATACCGTGAATCCAATTCTACTACTAGCAGCTTTGACTCTCTAACCTTCTTAATATATTGAAATCAACTGCCTCATTTCAATATGAAAGTCAATAATGATCTTTCAGCTTCCTTTGAGGAATTGCCTTTGATGGGCAGTCAGAGTGAGGCTGTGCCCTCAAACGGCAATATTCACAGACGGCCTGTTCCTACTCAAACCAGCGGTACTTCCTCATCCCAAGATAACCATACTTGGGACCATAGCTGGGAAGATAAGACACGCCTTGATAGCCCGCAATCCTTCTTCGGAGAGAGTGAAGCTACATACAGTAACCATGACACGCATGCTGGCATTGCAACACCAAGTTCGCAATCTCATGAGGGGAACTTGCCTCTCGAGGAGGCCCGTTGCTCTTTGTTGCCATATCGATCTGCAGCATGGTTTATCCACCAGAGAGATCTCAAGCTTTCGACTCTTGCAGCAGCGGTTCTCATGCACGAAGAGTGCATAAGTTTCAAGGATCTGGAACCGTGAGTCTCCTCCCAAGGTAGTAATTCTTCAAGCCTAACAACACCTAAGGTACTGTGCGCTTTATGCCCGCGATGACTCTCCTGAACCTACTGATCCCCTCTCTGGTGCCCTATCAGCGGCCCACGGTATCGTAGGCGGGGTCGTCAACGGAGTAGCCGACTACCCTATCGAGATTGGGAAGATGCTGAAAGCAGATCAACCTCTGGCTACAGGCATGGCTAAGAATTTCGCCCTCGACACAAATAAGGGCGTGAGCAGAATCATCGGGACAGGTTTAAAAGCTCCGATGGATGTGACTCTAGGCGTGGCTAAAGGATTTGGTAATTTGCCGAAAGCTTATGGCGACGAGACTGTCAGAGAGAAAGAGAAAGTCACTGGTATTGGAAGTGGGCTAATGGTTGCTGGAAAGGTAAGCTAAATCTAAGATGTTGAAAAGTACTAACTTGCAAGGGATTTGGATTCGGGTTATATGATGGTATATCCGGACTGGTCACACAACCTCTCAAGGGTGCTCAACAGGAAGGCGCCTTGGGGTTCATGAAAGGGTTCGCCAAAGGTATCGGAGGCGCCGTGTGCAAACCTGTCTCAGGTACGAAGTTCACAATTTACCTTAGTGTGCTAAGAGCTGATGGTTGTATCTAGGTGCTGTTGGTCTTCCTGCGTATGCCTTCAAGGGAATATATGAAGAAGTTCATAAGAGTCGTGGTAATAATGTTGATGGACACGTGATTGACTTACTTCTGGCCAAGGGCGAAGAGGAGTGTAAGACCTGTGGAGTGGAGGAAAGAAGCAATGTTTTGAGCAGGTGGCATGAGGTGCAGTTACTCGAGACAGATTTCCTGGAAGGGAAGTATCAGTGAAAGAGATTAAGCAAACGGAAGCAGATTGTATTCCACGCGACTAAGTAAGATAGCGAATTACCATATATTCGTTGGATGTGGTAAGCAGCTTATCTCTGTGGTTTGCTATCAAAATCCGCTGGTCATCCCGTGCCAACATGACTGTCAGCTCAACAGTACATGGAGGGTCGTTCTTACTCTGTGAGGCAACGCCAACACGAACACCACAGCCACCTCCACGTCCACGTAAGGATTGAATCCTCCACGAACTTTGCGCAAGCATCTTCCCCACATTTCCTAGACTTTTACGATCTTAATTATAGCTCCTCTCTCTTAAAATCATAGCGAGGCGAATATTACGATGCTCACGACCAAGACCAAATCCTCTACGGCTTGACCCGCTGCCCTTCTTTTGACGGGACGGCCGAGGTTGAGATAACCGGCAAACGACGATCCACATACCCAGGAAAGGTTGTCATGAAGCGGGGAATATTTTTGGGGGTTAAGATCAAACATATCCATAATGGCTCCAAGACTTTACTGTACTTGTGTTCAATTCGCTGCTGGCCATGGGAACCCCTTGCGTATGTGTGGAAGAACAAAATGGGCGAGGCTATGGCAAGATCGTCGGGAGAGAAGGGGGGGCCGTTCTTTCGGTTTCTGAAAGATGTGGATGGTACTGAGAGAGATTTGTTGGTGGCTTGTTGGTGTGCGTCCACGTGGGCTGATATGCAGTTCCGTTTGAACGCGGGTTTGGAGCCTTAAAGCTACGGAGAAGAAAACTAAGGGTAGATAGCATTCGGTAAAAGGAGTTCGGTAGCTAATAGCTTGATACCCCGTAAATCATGGGATGTCCCTTCTATCATTTGAGGTGCGGTTTGGCAGGTAGTATTGAAAGATCAAGGAGACTGATAAATTGATAGCCTTTCCGGATGAAATGGAGAACAAATTTCTTTGGGGCAGATCGAGCAAACTACCTGTGCAAATCGAAGTGGATACGCTGCTCTGTAGTCTGATATTATTGATAATGTGAATGAAGAAATGATTTTGATGCTTGATTTCGACTTTTCACTAGTGGGGTGAGTCAACCCCTTATTTACGCGAGCTTCCTAAATTGGACATTTCACTACGCAAGACAGCTGTGTCTACACATGTGCTCTTTATTCGCTTTATAAACTTCTAAGTGACTTCCCTCCCTCCAATTCCATTTTTGTATATAACTAGCTATATGTTTCCTTCCTATAGGGTCGCGACGGCCGAATAGGTCTCCAAGCCAACTAATTTATATCTAGTCACTAACTAGTCGCAGTAAGCAGGAAGCGTCAGAGGAGCCTTTGAGTACCAAGTAAGTTTCTATCCAAGATACATATAAGTGACTATTTGCTGACTAGTTCTAGACTAGCCTCAGCAGAGGAGACGATCACTATTAAGGATGGTGAGGGGGAAGTTGAGAAGAGGGCCTTAGGAGGTGCATAGTTTTAAGGACTGCCTTAGTACCGGTTCGCGTCTGGTTTGTTCCTATCCGTAGATAGGCTTTTAAGTTTAATAGAGCTTGTTGTCCTATGCTTTTATGATTATATATATAGTGAAGAATACCTATAACTATTATAAATGCCTTATATGTAAAAGCTATATAGTAGTAAATTTGCCTATTCTTTCCCGTTTAAGACTAGGAGTCTACTAGGTATTGCATAAGCGATAACAACTCATGATATACCACATTTCAATGCATATGCTAATTTTAGTTTTAGTGAATATACCCCTTCTTTTCCTTTTCCCTTTCCCTTTTCCTTTCTGTTTTCTTTTTTTTTTTATCTCTCATAGGTATGCTATATACTATTTAATCATGTCTTCTACCTGTCGTCAATCATATCATATATCTCATATATGGCCTCCTCTTCCTTTAAATCAGGATCATATGATTTTATCACGCGAGCAATTTTGCCAATGGTGCTCTGGTGCAGCGAGGGATAAGTATATTCTCCAGCCACTTTCTAGTTATATACTGGTAAACAACTAGTCACTAACTTTCTTAGATGCTGGACTTCAGCAACTAACCTTCGCAAGCATGCAAAGTGTCATCTTGTAAAAGACTCATCTTTTACGATTCAATCAGCTGGCAAAGGTGGTCGTGCTTTCCTTAATGCGGATACGCGTTATATAAACCCAGAGTAATATTCCCTCATTATATCCTTTGGGTCTACTACTAAAACTAAATAGGGCACTAGACTCTTCATCTGTCTCTTCTACTCAGTTAACGACTGGCTCTGAACCAGTCCCTTCTATTTCGGCAGCCACTGCATCTTCTGCCCTGCTAGCACCTGCCCCGCCTGCACTTTCCCCATCTGACCAGTGCTGGTGATGCATGAATGGTATAGAAGTAGCTACGCCTGGTCGTGGCCGTGGGCGTACTGATCCGCTTGCGCCTTTCTCTTCTGACCAGTCTATGACTGATTCGGGTACGGACCCTGTATTCTATTCATTCCCCTCTCAATGTTCACACTAATCGTATAATCAGCCCCATGCGCCATCTGTTATAGTGGTGTTCGAACCTCTATCAATCAACAGATGTCAGTCCGTACTTTATAGAAAACTCAACATAATGTAAAAGCGCTTTTCTTGAATTGGGTGAGGCTTACCTGGAGGTCCAGCATTTAGTTGTAGTTGAGGTTGTACAGGCGGTCCTTCTATGTGATCTAAAGACTGAATGCGCGGTATCTCGATAGCGTGCCTTGGAACTTGGTGAATGGCTGGGATGGCAGGAGAATGACATGGGGAAAGGGCAGGCGCGGGAGGCGTAGATGGCTCGAGATGTGCAGTCCGAGATCGATCTCTTCAGCACTTACGACCAGCCCACGGAGGGGTGGCTCAGGGGTGCTAGTAGTTGGACTTGAGTGTGGAGATGCTTGAGGTATAGCTAGTCCGAAGTGTGCATTCCCAATATCGATCTCTTCAACACCTGCAACTGATCCGGGCGGTGCCAACTCAGACGTACTTGTAGCAGAATCCAGAGAGACTGTCGGTCTCTGCTGTTAAATCGGAGAGCTCTCTCTGACACGAGATTATTGAGTATTACTCAAGCCCTCTAGATTAGATGACTCCATGTCAAGTCTTTGCTCCACCGGTGTCAACCAAGAGTTGTTATTCCGTACGTGTTCTTCGTATATTCGCTTCAGATCATTCATATCTGGGTTCAGTCGTCTCGTGAGAAAATTGTAGGACTTGACGTTAGTTGAGCGCAACTTCCAATCGTATATGGGCTAGGATCTGCGCAATTCAAGAATATACGAAGATGTCTGATTGACATGGTATACCTATGAGACAGCCGGATCCAACGTGTTTTCTCCATTCCACCATCCACGAATTGATGATGCTCGTCTGGCACTATGTTCTCGTCCCCCGGTTTCTGCCAAATGGGCGAATGAGCTTCATTATCCACGTCACGGCTGCGACTGCTTTGTAAATCCTCGAACGTCATCTGTCCTGGGCTTGAATCTCGACGATCGCCGATTGATCCAAAAGATGCTATCTAAAGGAGCTAGGTTAGTGACTCTTATATGAGATCTCTGTACATTCAAGCGTTTGTACATTACCTTTGCAAACGTACCGTCGAAGTCCAAGCCGTCTCCGCCTCCAGATCCCTCCCTTCTATTTGGCCATTTGCGCAAAACAACGACTGGATGATCCCAACCAGAACCAGATATGGTGCAATATTGGACAGCTCCTTGTTGAATGAGCTGGGCCGCTTGTGGAGCAGTCGTACAATTTTCATTTTCACAAATACACACCTCGTTACTACGTGGAAGCCAGAGAATGCAACCTGCTTTCACATCACGAAGGTGTGTTATTGGTGGCATACGGGGTACTATGATATCAACGGCAAACGTAGATTGTCTTTGGAAGTAGTTAAGGGGGAAAATCCAAGGGCGAAAAAGAGATATAATGATTGTAGTAGCTCGTTTGAAACATACCTCAACTGTATATTGATACCGCACCATGAAGTTTGATCCTCCATAGAATATGAGTTGTCTTGTGGGTGGGTCGGTTATGCTGAATAAAGTACACAACAAAAGAAGAGAGAAAGAAAACTGTTGGTAATCAAATAGCAGGCTGGATAACGGAAAGGTTGTAGCTCTCTCCGCAGACCCAGTCCTTAAGTGACAGTGCCCGCGAGCATCATAAGCGTACGTTGCCGAGAAGGCAAGCTTTTAGGCCTACTCACTCACTCACTCACTCACTCACTCAGCCGCTTTGTGGCCGGAAGCAATGGATCGGAGAGACAGATAGGAATGCTCTGGTCGTGATAGAATTGCGCGTTGAACCGATTGAAACCTGGAAGGACCGAAGAGATCTTCCCAACAAGCCTTTGTTTTCATTGTCGGCGAGTATGCATACAGGGCGGCGCTTTGAGACATTGGCACTACCGTCTGTGAAGAGAAATCTCGACTAGAAGATTTTAGCACCGGAAAGAAAGCTTGAGACCTATTAAACAGTCCCTGAATGAAATATTGATTATTTGCGGGTATGCTAGTTGAAATCAATAAGCTTTGCTAGGATGTGTTCTTCATTGATTGATGAATGAAGAGGATCTGTCTAGGATCGGTACAATTATACGCCTGTCCTGAAAAGTGGAACTCCCTCGCTAGTCCGATATAATCCCAAAATAAGAGCAAGTCAAGTTTTGTAAGACTGCGTGTATCTCATGAGTATGGTAAGTGGTTTTACAGCTTCGCCTTGATCTCCTTGGCGGAAGCGCTTGCTTCTTTGTTAACAACCACGTCGCCGCTCTTGTCGCTATTTCCGAAGAAGATGACCTCGACGGTCAAATCATCGCTTTAAATTGTTAGTATTGATTCCCTGCATACATTCATGAATGACTTACCGATAACGTCTCGAATATGGGGCCGGCAGCGTTAATAACGCGCATACCATATCCTTATCCTTTCCACCGAGAGCATTTCTCACCAGGTGAGTTGCGACATTCTTGTCCTGTACCACGAATCTCTCATTCTCCCCACCCGTTACACCCCACTGTTGCTGTCTAATAGGCGTCTTTTGACCATCCTTCACCTTGCCTTTAGCACCCTGCTCAACCGGCAAGCCCTTTTGTTGAGACGAGAACATCTTGATCCACGAGTTTGCCGAATTGCCACTAGTCTCAGCAGACTGCTTCTCAATCCACTGTCCGACCAAGCCAACAACTTCTTCATTCGTAAGCATTTCCCAAAGACCATCGGTAGCCATCACAACAAAATCACCCTTCTCAGGCTCGATCTTGGTAGTTGTGACAACAGGCTCCGCGGTAACATAGGGTGGCGAGCGAAGATGCTGGGACGGTGTTCGGCCAAAGAAAGATCGCTTCAAGCGTTCTGAGACTTCACGAGACCACTTATAACTCGCATCACCAAAGGCACGAGTTGGCTCGAGGCCTCCTAGAACACGGCCGTTTCGGATAACGTTGTCTTCTCCAGGGTGGAGTTTGCGCATCCGGGCTTCTTCATCTGGGTTGCCGCCTGTTTGGTCAACAGAAAGCGCACTGGCAGTCCATTTCCCGTTCTCACTTCGGCGCCCCAACACAGCCCGAGAGTCTCCTGTGCAGGCGACTCGTAGAAGTTTGCTGTTACTGTCGTAGAATGAAAGGAGAGCACAAGATCCAGATAGAGCAGGCGCAAGAAGTTCGGCGGCAACGAGCTTGGAATTTGCCTTTAAAACCTTCTCAACGCTCTCGTGAACGATTTCGTGGTCAAGTCGATTGAATCCTGTCTTGATAGCGGATTCAATCGATTCAGATGAGGGTGACCCAAGAGCTGGGTCAGCAAGAGCTGCTTTGTATGTAGAATTCAGTTCTCTAGCAACAAAGTTTATTAAGACTTGTCGCAGCTTTGCCGATGTAGTCCAGCCCCTATACACTATTAGCAATGCCCAGCCTCCTTGATCGTGATACATACGAATGGCCATCGAAAACACCCCAGAACATCCAATCACTGCCAGGATTTCTTGCTGCAGTAGCAGTTGCCAGTGCTTCGGGCAGCTCAATTATTTTTTCCGAATGGTCGTCCTCAATAGGATCATTGCTGGGTATTTGGACCACATCATATCTCACAACACCCTTCCCTCTCCCAATCAGATATGACTCCTCACTTCTGCGCAGCTTCTGCGTAGCTTGTTCTGGCGTCAACATCTCCAGCACTTTCCTTCCTGCGCCATCCGTATCCTTGGTAATTGGCTCGTTGCCAGGAACTAGGCTGGTGTACAGCGAATCCGCCCCAACAATCACAGCTTTCCTCTCGACTTCTTCCGCAGTTTGTGCTGGCTGTGGGAACGAATATGTAGGAGAGGTCGACAGACCCCGGGACTGTTGAGCCAGTGTTGCACTCGATTGTTCGCGGGGTACTAGATCTCCAGTCTGGCCTTTGTATGTATACCAAGCCCCATAACCCACCAGGCCAGATAAGAATGCCACCGAAACGCGGCGAATGTACATGGACGATGTCGCTTCCTTTGATGGAGTGGTGCCGGGTCCTGATGCGTGTCTGATGCCTAGAACATAGGTTGAGGAGGGTAACTGCCCAATGCGACTTCGAAGACCAGTAAGACGCGCAGTGCGGAACGCTTTGACAGCTGCTCGACGCATTGGATTGACGAGCTGGGGAGTTCAGAACAATGTCCAGAGCCCAAGATCAGAGTTGAGTCGAGGTCGAGCCCGTCGGGTCGGCTTTCGTGTTGACCGCTTTGGAGGTGTCGTGTCTGTATGCGATAGAAGGAAGTCGTATAGGTAATTTGAGAAGCTTGAAAAGGAGTGACACAGCACGAAGTTGCAGAACAAAATGAGGATAAAGTGGTCGTTATGACTATTGCATCGTATACACCTCCTCCTAACAACACCAGGGCGTTTGTTCTCGGGCGTTGTACTGCTGTACAGTACGGTACTGCAGGTAAATAATACTGTAACTGTAACGCTTGGGCGCGCCTACAGTTGCGATTTCCGGATGTGGAATTCTGCCAGCCTTCCTTGTCCTCTGCGTCATTCGACAAAATATGGACGACTGCGGGGCGGCAGTAACAACAAAAAACGTACTCTACAACTCTTCACCATTGCAGAGGAGTCATTATCCTTGACCCTCGGCCTCAGCTCCAGCCTCACTCTCTTCTCTTATATCTTGAATCCGGTACCTAGCAATCCCCATCCCACAAAATGTCCACTCGGCAACTACGAAAACTACAACAGCAGCGCGAGCTTGAGCAAGCCCAGCTGCAAGCCGCACAAGAAGAGGAGTCCGAAGACGAGCCAGTCCTGCCCACGAAATCGAAACCCAGTCTATTTGCGAATTTAGCTGCACTCGAAGATGCTGAGGACGATGAAGACGAGGCTGCGGATGAAGAGCTACCGGCAGAATTGAGTGAACCCGAGCCAACCCCACTATCCGCCTCAAAAAAGTCGAAGAAGTCTAAAAAGAAGAAGAAATCAAAGGGCAAAGCAAAGGAGAAAGGCGCAGAGTTCCAGACGCCCCAGAAACTCGAGGATGGGGTGGACGATATCGACGCGGCGTTACGAGAGTTGAACCTGACGAAGACTGCTCCAACAGCATACTCTCAAGCCCTCCCAACTGATCCGGAATACGAGAAGATATGTACTTTGCTGGGAGTCAATACTCAGCACCTGAAGGTCGCGAATGAGATGAGAGCTCTGTTTGGGAAGGCTGCTACTGAAATACATGATGATCCTGGTGGGCCGACCGGAAGAGGGGCACGACGGAGGCAAAGAGCGGCTCAGAACCAACAAGTCGATTTGGAGACTGCGCTCAAAGGGCATCATCTTCCTGGAAAGGGACTCCCAGAGCTTACGTTACGGCGCAACAATTTCATTCAAGGCAAAGATGATTGGCCAAAGGCACCTACTGGGGGCCTTACAATGGAAGTGATTGATGATCCTGGAGATGGGAGTGATGGGTCTGTTGAGTTTACATATTCCCATAACACGGCATACCAAGCTGTTCAACAGACGTTCTTCGCATTTGTTGAAATGGGAGATCCGCAGAACCTCATCGGGCTTTTGGTTCGAAATCGTAAGTCATATCCTCATTCTAGGGTCTCTATACTAAGATCTACCAGCATACCACATATCTCTCCTCCTTCAGGTCAGCAAAATAGCCAAAGATCAAGGAGACCATGCGTTATCCTCAGACTTGATCGAACGAGCTCTATTTACATTTGGTCGTGCCTCGTTAACCCAATTTAACAACAAAATAACGAAAGGCTATTCCCGCCTAGACTTCTTGAGACCTGAAAACAGAGAACTCTGGCTTGCAGGATACCAATACATCAAAAGTCTAATTATGAAAGGTACCTACCGAACAGCCCTTGAATGGGCAAAACTCCTCCTTGGTCTCGACCCGGAAGACGACCCCTACTGCATGCGCTTCATGGCCCACCACCTCGCCCTCCGAGCCCATGAATTCACCTGGCTCCTAAACCTCTTCGAAGGCCAGCTATTTTCCCTATGGAGAGGATCGGATGAAAACGGCGATCCTCCCCCACATTCTGCAATGCTGCACTTCATGCCCTCCCTAGCTTTCGCAGCCTTGCGGTTGCGAGACGGTGTTAAGAGCAGGAAACTCCTTACCGAATCCATGCAAAAAGTCCCCTGGCTGTTCGTCCGCCTCTTCAAAGAGCTAAATCTCGACGCTCCATCCTCAATCTGGGGCATCGAGCCACGCACCGATGCCGAGACGCTCTTTACAGAGATGTACGTCCTACAAACCAAAGATCTCTGGAACGCGCCCGAAGCTGTATCCCTCCTCATGGAAGTCGCGCACACGATTTCGAAAGTCAACATCGGCACGATTCCGCAGGTCAATAATTCAGAAATGACTCTTGATGTAGTCCGCTTTGTATACCTAGAAAACGTACCCGCATTGATGGCGCTGGTGCCGTCTAGCTTGCTTCATAAGAGCAATAACTCGGATTCTGATCCTATACCACCGGAACAGAGTATATATTCCTACGAAGCACAACGCAAAGCATTGGAGATGCCAACGCTTCCTGGTATTGGACATGATTTCATGGACCCTCTTGAAGCCATCGCGCGGCTTCTGCCAGGGCTCAGAGGCTCTGCCGCAGATGAGGATGTTGATCGTGAGAGGTTGAGACTAGGCTTAGAGGAGGCTATTTTAAATGAGGGCCCCGAAGAATTAGATGAAGATGGGTTTGAGAGAAATGGAGAGGTGGCCACGGAGGCCTTCGAGAGACCGATACCGATTGGGCTGGCTAGGAGGTTGATGAATATGTTTTGGCCGGGTGAAGATGGAGGGTGGTCTGATGGCGAGGAGCCTGAGGAGGATGTTGATACGGATACTGATGAGGATATGCTGGAATTGGTGGGGGCTGAGGGGACTGATGATGAGATTCCTGGTTTGTTGGAGGACCCGGATACGTAGTACGTATGCTTGCCGTCTAATAACAACGAATTCGAAATTATTCATCCATTCTTCATTTCCCTTTTGCCCTTACCTTTCTCTAGTATGAGTTATGTCATGCCACGTTTCAGAGCAACTTTCTTCATGTTCAACAGCATTTCTATAATTCATCTAGTGAAGAGCATGCCAAGTGAAGCGTTCTGGGAGTCCGAAGGTAGGATTCCAAGCTATTAGTGTGGAGCTCCGACCAATCAGATCTTAAATTTTGCGGGCTGGCGAATGAGACACGGGCACGCTAGTCAGCATGCTAGGCCAGATCTGCTTGCATACGTCGGTTTATAGATGACCCTTCCAGTTGGTCGACTTGCAATTTACCTTCACTGATTTGTTGCAAGTGAATAGATATGTTGGGGATAGATTTGTACGAGCTCACCTAGGACCGTTTGATGCGTGATAATCACTTCTAGATAGGTTGAACGGAAATAGTTCATGAAGCCTTAAAGTCCTGTATAATGGGTCCTCAATTTCTCTATTCGTTCGGCCCATTCGTACTGTTTTAGCAACTCTACTATGATCAAATTTGTTTCCTTTAATCTAGTCAAGGACATCCACTCCCTAGCAGGCAAAGTCATTTTCATCACGGGTGGCAAGTTAGGTCTTAGTAAACAAACGGCTTTGGACCTTGCTAGACAGTGGTTGCAGTCTGCTGACCCGTTCTTGTTGTACTTTCTCCTTGTATTTGTGGTGGGAGACGGGCCGGGGATTACATAGATCCAATAATTAATTCATTTCCCACACATCAAATTCCCTTCAAATGGTTTCCCACTTGCCGTCGCTTCCTTGTCGCCTGCAAATGAGCTTTACTTTCTCCGCGGGATTATTGGGCAGCATTACTTTAACTTTGTTCACGCGGTACTGCTCTGGAAGTGCCGGAAGTGATATATCTTCAGTCCTAGGAGACTTGCAAGTCGAAAACTCGTTATCAATCTGAAAACCCTTATAGAGGTCCCTTTCCTCAATCTCCATTACTTCCCGTATAATGCATCCTGCTAGTCTCGAATCCCAGATGCCTTCTTTATGAAATTTCAAGCTTTTAAATTTGAGCGCGTGCATCCTAATGTGTGAACGCGACATTTTAGAGCTGTAAAGTAGAGTGGTGGGATCCAGCCTATATCAGCTATAGAACTATATGGCAGTATACCATGACCATAGATCGCATCACTTATGGTAGTTGAAAAGAGAGCATTTTGTATGTCGACTGCCTGGGCTATTAGAGAGGCAAAGGCGCTAGTAAAGTCCTCAAAGATGCATTCTCGCACTATCTCGAGACAGTCTCGACTATAATACCTGCCATCGTGTGGTAGATAGACAGAAATTAGTAGGAGAAGGCAGCTATAGTATCCGTGTAGACTTAAAGGTCATCTATCAACGCCATGAGTATTCTGAACCAGGACCCAAATTGCGCTCGAATATGTGACTGTGCAATAAATAGCTCATGGGAGGGCGGATCTTCTTGAAATGTTGCCGCTTGCCGCGAAAGCTAGGTAAGATGAAAGATCTCTTTCAACAAACAATCCAAGTTTTGTCTTGCTTGGGTCATGGTATGGAACTTGGTGGTCGATCCGTCAATAAGCAAGCCCCGTGGAATGCCATAACTATGCTCGGTATTTAGTCCAAGCATTTGTACCTGAAGCTGCAGTCTAGCAAACGTTTCGATGATACAATGGTCGATAGAGCAGTACGAGGGCCACAACAGATGTATAATGATTCACGGAGCTTCATGCCGTAATGAAGGTGGATGTTGCCTGTCTTGTAATGGCCGTGGAGAAATTCCAAAGACACGAATACCAGGCAAGCAATCAGAGTAGTCCGCAATGATTCCTTAATTCGGCCCGGCCGAGAAATAAGGCTTAAGGCCACCAATCGCTTTGCTATATTGTCGCAGCGCAAACTGTTCTTGCTAATCAAGAATGTCATCTCTCTTTCGTGGTCTGTCGCTTTCAACAACATCTCTCTTGTGAACGGCGCTCAACGCTAGGACGGTGTGAAACACCGCTGGCTCGTTCGAGCTTGTCTGGAGCACCAGTGTGCCCCCGGAATTCCGAACCGAAGATACCAGGGAGTTTCACAACGCTCCGTCGAAGGAACTATTCAAGGTAGCCCTCCTGTGTGATATTTGGGACACCCACAGAGGCCGGTATGAGATGCCTCAAGGGTATAGACCGGGCCAAAGTTTTGAGACAAGTCGTACAATCACAGTAGGCGTTGCCACCTCCGCCCCAGATGCCATGGCCATCGCAGACGCGACCTGTAGGAATACACCGGTCACATGTGGGCCAACCCTGATCGCATTTAACCTTCCGGACTCTACGCAGGATGAGTAGGCATAATCGGTAGACCATTTATTTCCCAAGAGACTTGCAAGTCCTGCATGGCTGAGGTTTCTTCCGTGCCATATACTCGTTGGCGATTTCAAAAAGGAGCTGAGCAAATTGATGGCTGATGTCCCGTCTCTGAAGAGAATGTTGCGAAACAGTGCTAGAGCAAAAGTATTGATCTTTATATTGTATATGGTCAGCCATCTGGAAATTATAACTTCAGTGTGCCCATTACTTTTCTATTCTCCAAATGAGGACTCCGTGTTCTGTTCCACTAGTTATGAAGAGATATCGGGAATTGTATAGCAAAACACACCCAAATGTCAAAATCTAGCATTTCCCCAACTACTTTTATAAGCAAATAGGTGTTAGAATCTTACTTAGGCGTATTGTGACGGGTTGCACCCACCCAATGTTAAGGCTTGGCACGTGGTGCCTACGCACGTGACTTTACATATACGACGTGATTTCAATTTCGCTTCCCTAAGAAGCTAAGAAACCCCTTTAATATAGTTCGTACGAGAGAAGCTTCCCTTCTCTCTTTAGTTATTTTTCTTGTATCAAATTCAGGCTTTTGCTCTGCACACTTTGCATTCGCCCCGTGACAAAGAAAATCGATTACAAAAAGTGATGTTTTCGCGAAGAGGGGGGTCAAGCCGAAAAATCGCGTATTGATACTACCTACCTAAGGTAGGTAGTTAGTTGTGTCGCTATAAGAGTCCTGTGACTACTCTCGCTAAGGCTCCTGAATATCGCTTACCCTGATTCCCCCTGAAAGCTTTCTCTTTTTTTACTTACCCCTAATTAAAGCCGCGATCGGGATCTAAAACACTACTAGATCAAGTTCGAAGTTGTCATTGAATCTAGGGAAAATATATAGTGAAGCCGGAAGACCTTTTTAGCTATGTTATACTGGCTGCGACAGGATGTCTTTCAAAGACGGAGTACCAAAAGACTTGTACACGAGCAATTGCTCTCAAGGAGCGGTATTGTAATCATGAGGTGTATGCCATATTACTTTTGCAAACTACGTTGTACCTAGGTTATCCTCGTGTAATTTACTCAAGTGAAGCTACCCAATTTCTCGTCCAACCTGCCATCCATTCCACATGTATCGGTTCCAATTCTTTGAATGAATTACTGGCCTCTGAGGTTTTGGAAACATTAAATGAACAGCTTGGAACTGATTCGTCTGAAGCTAACAGCGTCTCGTAAAAGTCGAGGAGTTTAATCCCAGGGTTCTGATAAACCACATCGGCACTCACATCAGCAGTAGCGGTACTTTGGAGAAGTTTGATCCATTCTGGAAGAGGGATGATATTGACATCTCTGGCTGCGGTTTCGAGGCTACCGGATTCTGCATCCTCCAAAGTACTTTTGATCGTAGGTAGAAGGCTATCCCAAGTGACAGGTCGAGGATTGACCAGGTGATAAACACGCACGCTGGGACTTTCTGTGTCTTGACAAAGACCAAAGGTGAGTTCAATCAGAATTTCGGCAAGCTGGTCAATTGGCACCCAAGTGATATTACTCATTACACTAGATGAATTCGATCCCTTGGGACCAAGCGCATCTGGCAGGGCGTGGATGTAGCGAGAACTCAAAACCAAGCTTGGAAGCCATTCATTTCGGTTCCAGCCACGAGGATTGTTCGCTGTGCCCGAGATTTGACCAACCCGAACAGCTCCAGTTGTCAGTTGAAGTGTCTTAGCAGCATAGTTGAGCATTTCCTCTGCAACATACTTGCTTTCCCCGTAGCCCATATTTGCTGGAGAAGAGTCTTCTGACATGGCAGCCTCTGGTATTACCGGCTCGGTATCTGAGGCATTGCGGTAGTTGATTGCCGAACTTATTGATGAGAGAAACAGAATTACCGGCGAGAGCTTAGCGTGCACTGAAAATGATATCAAACTGAAGACTCCATCTAAACTTGGCTGGAAAGACTGTAGAGTCTGATTGAAATTGACGGGCCAAGCATTGTGGATTATGTGTGTTGTTGTGGATAGAAGTTTTTCATAAACCGACTCATCCACCCCAAATTTCGGCAATAAAAGGTCGCATGTTACAAATGTGACACGCGAAGGTGGGAAGTCCCCTTGGAGTTTCCGCTCTGCGTTTCGTGCTTCCTGCACCGATTTGGAATCCTGCGACCGATTGAGGCAGTATACGTGCGCTACTTTTTCCTCAAGCAGTAAACGCTGGAGGATGAATGACCCGAGTGCTCCTGTAGAACCTGTGAGAACAACGACAAGGGGCGCAGACACCTGTTCGCGTCTTTGCTCAGTTTTGCTTGTGACTAATGAGTCTATTCGTTTTTCGTACTTGGATCGCATTTCAAATAGTGATTTTTGCCGAGATTCTTGTATATTAACCTCTGTGTCATCTAGTTTGGCGAGGCTGTTGCTGAGCGCTTCTGCCAGTGATTTACTTGTCGGGTTGGAGTAGACTGTGCTGGGAGAAATTGACTCCATTGAAAATCGGAGCTTCAGCTTTTGGACTAGTCCAATAACTTGTAAAGAATCCATTCCCAACGAGAAGAAATCATCGTTGTTCTCCAGGGAATTCCATCCAGTGATATCCTTGACAAGATAAATGACAGTGCGGATGACCGCCTCGTGATCATTCAAGTCAACAAAAATGCTG